CTTATTTTTTTATCGAGAATTTATTAAACTGACAATCCAAAACAAAAATTTTTAACCAATCAAATTACAGAATTTTTCAAATTGGGACCAATGAAATTAGTTTAAGTACAGTGAAAAAATTTATGTCATAATGAAAGGTCAAATTTAATTAATTTATTATTAACTATAAAAAGTCTTAAATATTTACATTAAACAGTATTCTTTATTATAATAATTATTAAAAACACAATTATTACACATAATATCTAACAAATAAAAATTTGCTCGATGGATTGTCAAACCGAATTCAACTCTTGGTCTAATTTGTTCTTGCAAAATTATTCATTTCAGAAATGAGTATAGCTTTTGCTTTTGAAAAATTACACTTGTCTCCTTCGTCGCGTTGTCGTTGCAAAAACTACTCATTTCTGACTAATTTTTAAAACACCGATCAACTATTATTTCAACTATCTTTAAAATGCCGCAAGCATTACACATCTTTGGTACTATTTGCTAAATTAGAAATTTTGTGATAACCTCTGATAATAGAGAGGAATTATTCGGGATCATTTATTATGTAAGTAGGTAAATGAACTACATATTTGATAATGTATAGGTGGTTAAAAAATGTACCTACCTAGACAAATTTTGCATTATGAATACTGTTTTTTTGTTTAAACTATTTATTTTTTGGAAAAACTAATTTATAAATGATAAAGTACTATAAAAATGTAATGTTTTATCAAAAATAAATTTTTTCGAACTTTCCTTTTTTTTGAGTTCTACAAAATATTTAATTTTTTTATATGGCAACCCACTATACAACCATTTTTCTCATAAGGGTTGTAATCTAAAAATTACAACTGCGAGTATCTAATTTATATTTAATTTATCCAAATTTTTTTTACATAAATAGCAATTTTGACAAAAAATCGCATAACTCAAAAACAATAGTTATTTATTATACAAGACGATAAAATTGAATTTTATCTTTGAGAGCAATTTAATAATATGCTCGAAAGATAATCTCGAAAAGATAATGAAAATTTTATCGTCGTGTACAATATAAAATTTTATTCAGTCCTCAGTAATTTTGTAGTCAATTTGGTATATTTATAAATGTCAAAGTAAAATTCAACAATGAAATCTAATGTAAAAAATGACGGTTACTAACTAACAACTGCAGATATACAACAGTGGATGTATTTTTTATCATCTAGACGATAAAATTTCATTTTAACATGAAGAAAAGAGTAGATAAAATTCAATTTTAACATAGAGGATTGAAGAAAACAATTTTTTCTTCTCAAAATACGATCATATTTTTTTATTTTACTTTGATTTATATTAACTATTATTTTCTGAAGGCAAAAGATTAGAAAAAACCGCTTGGTTCCATACTTTATATTCACCCTGTATACCTATCACAAGCAATTTTAAAAATTACAAAATACTCTTTTTATTATCTGATTTGTAATAAATATAATGAAAAAATTAGAGCCGAACTGAGAAACTTGTCTTTAGGGAAATATTCTGAAATTTTGAGATTTTTATAAAAATTATGATTTTTACTTGATAGATTCTTTTTAATCGGTTTTGAAACAGAAAATGTTTTATATAAAGCTGAATATTAATATAAAAATCTTCGCCACTTTTCTGCAAAATTTTTAAATTTTAACTTTATTTTAAATGCAAAGAAATTAATTTACAAGTAAGTAAAACAAATTATTTTAAGAGTAAAACAATGAAGAAAATTAACTCAAAAGGTGATGACTAATAAGAAATGAATGAATAAGTCACAATTTGCAATACCTATAATACTTCATTAGAAAATTGTTATTTATAAAAAGTGTCAACTCAGCACAAAAGTTATGACAAATAACTGATCCAATTAATTAATAAGCAACAGACTTTTGAGAAAATAGCGACGGCAAAATCTGGTTATGGCCCATTGGCCACCTGTGTGTTTATGTGCGCTAAAGCGGCATTTGGAAACCTAGGTATACATATCAAGTATAATCTCAAGCAAACTTTGTGGCAAAATCGATCCCGAACCTAAACACACATAATTAGATCTTGTTTGAAGATAAACAGGTGATCTTTTCACGTTGTGATCTGAATAATATTTGGCAAACAACCATTTCGAGTTGATGCTTCATCAAACAAACAATTTCTCGTGGGTCGATTGTTTAAATACGTTAAAACCCAGAATGGAAAAATCAGAAATTAGGCACGCGTTCATACTCTCGAAGATAGGAAACACCCCCATACTACAGCGTCTTATGAATGAGTTTATCAACGACCTAGCAGTTGATAAGACCACAAAATGCACCAAAATAATAAAGGTGATAAAGTATCACAATATTATCGCCACCGCTAAGATTATTATTATTATGACGAAGTGTATACAATTTTATCACAACTTTGATAATAATGCTATGAATTCGCTATTGCTTAGGGAAGGGGCCACGATAATGCAATCTCTACTGGGGTATCTCCAAGTCAGTACACGGTAAAGTTTGTAGGTGTTCACTACGGTTCCTGCACCCCCATGAAGGAGACACCCATCACCACCAAACTACAACCAAAGTGATTCAAGTTAAAGCAAGTGGTTTGCGTTTATAAGTGATCTGGAATAAACTATTGTTTTGGTTTGTTTAAAAACACATTGTGATTTTATTATGTTAGAAAAATAATTGAATTTTAGAAGGAAAAAAACTGTGCGTGTCTACAAATTCAACAAATTTACAATTATTGTGTTGGTGCTGCAATGGAGTGATTATGTTAAATGTATAATAAAGGGCCTTTGGTTTCAGTTTCAGGTTTTTTTGAGGGTGAAAGTGCCGCATCGGAGAATAAAATTATTGTTGACAAAGTCAACGGAAACTACATATGAGAAAGCAAACTGTTGTAAATAACCATAAATACGAACTAAACCACGAAACATTTGTTCATAACAAAGGCCAGCCACAAGCGTAAATAACTTAATAGAAAATAGTTTTGATATGTTGAACAGCAAGCATTTTTCACTTTTTTTCCCTGGTTAATAAGTGCAATTTATAGTCAATAATAATTTTCATCTAATTTCGACCGCCATTTTATTCCGATAACGTTGTGACATAGTTCCTTGTTTAAATAGTAAACTGGAATTATTAAACATTCCAGTATTGCCATTATTGGCCCAATTTATCATTTATTAATTTATTTTAAAAGAAACTTTAAAATTGTCACAAGACAATGAAAAATCATTATCGTTTGATCACAATAATAAAAGCACTTACATAGTTATATAAGTAGGTACATAATTTTGAATTTATTTTAACATGAGGGAACTGCTCTCTACTAATAATGTTTATTTTCGTGGTTATCTATTTCTGTATTTGTTAGGTACTACATAAAATTCAGTTTGTTGTGAATTATAGAAAAAATATACTTCCAATGTATTAAATGCTTATTTAAACTTATTAGTTCTTGGAGAAATACGTTAGACCACGCCCTGAAATATCTAAAATTACCATCAAAAGTAAATAAAGCAGATGTAAAAAACATGCTACTTAATCATTTTAATTTTTCATATAATTTTCAGTCCATGACTAGAAAAGTAGACATTTTTACAATTTTGAGATTTTAATAAGAACTTATTACTTAAGTCTTATTATCTTAATCAATAAAGATTAAAAAAAATGCAACAAAATTAATAAACCATTTTACTCTTTCATGGTCAATTCGTCAAACTTTGACACCATTATACCTATAATAAATTTATGAAAAGTTTTCTTCAATGATCCTCAAAATTCCTGTAACTTTGTGTTGTTTATTTACAAAAATTTTCTAATAGAAAATTATAACAATTTAACTTATAACAACATGATAAATCATACCGAATAGATTTAATTTTTTTTCTTCGTTTTAAACAAGATTTTGTCAATTACTTGTTATAATTAAAAATGATTAATAATTATTACCAAATAATAAAAAACTATAGTCATTGAAGACTCTCGACATTATGAAAAAATTAATACATTATTCAAAAGCTTAAAAGATTAACCTTGGTTTAATTTACATTTACAGAATTGATTAAATTTTAAGGTAATCTAAAATAGTATAGCGGTTTACTTTAAGAGTTAAACAAGAAAGAGGGAAGGTATGTATTAAAATCTGAACACATTACTTAATAAATAATTTGCATGTTTGTCGATAGATGATATTCACCACATTTTATAGTTTGTATTTATTTGTTATAAATCTGCTTTTCAGACTGGTGATTAATTAATTAAATTAATACAGATTTACTTAATATTCAATATTAATTAATACAGGGTGCCCCAGAGAAAAATGCCATATACCTAACATGAAAAAGTTGTTAAAAAAAATCTATCTATAAAAATTTGGAAGTTATGAGAGTTTAAATTTTGTATTGTGACTCTATTTATTTCTGTTGGAAAAATAATTTTCCAAGTTTTTTTGCTACAGGCTATTACAAGAGGAAACAAAGAAGCTGTATTCTAAATTGTAACTCTGTTTAATGTTATTTGTGGCTTTTATTGGCAAATTTTTGTACCTTTACTAAATATCCATATTCTTGGTATCCTACCTTACTTGAAATTTTTCTCTGAGTTGCGAGTTCTGACACACCCTGTATAGATCTACCAGTGGCGCAGCCAGAGTTTAGGGAAGGGGGAGTTACCTATGTAGTAATAATAGGTAAATACAGGGTTTGTCAGAACTCGCGCCCTAGAGAAAAAATTCAAGTAAGATAGCAGGAACATGAAAAAAAATTGACATTTATTTTTTGACATTCGACATTTTTTATGTCCATTTAATGATACTGATGATCTTGAATACATATGTTTTTTTTTTAATTATTTAGTAAAGGTACAAAAATTTTGTCAATAAAAGCCACAAACATTAAGCAGAGAAAAAATCTAATTTGTAAAAGTTGATGAAATTTTGTATATTTTCTAGTGTACTAGTGTAAATGTCTTGTGTACTAAAACTCTCGAAAAGGTCTTGGAATATCTTTGTGAGCAATAAATTTATCATCTAAAAATTGAATAGTTTTCTAAAAATTGATAAATTCTAATAACGCTTGAGTAGAACTAGCGGGTATAATATTAGGTACTTCAATCAAACAGAAGTAATAATATTTCAATCTTAACAAAATCTAAAACTTTTTTAAAAATCCTAGTATTGATTTAAGCTTTTTTTATACAGAGTGTTACAAAACTTGCGCCCCAGGGAAAAATTTCAAGTGTCGGCGGAAATAAGTCAACAAAAAGGGCAACCGAAGAAGTCACTTTTTCTTGCGAGAAAAATATTCGAAAACAGCGTGTTATATCAACACATGACAGAAAATTAATAAAAGTCAAAATTACAATAAGCCAAATAGTTTTTGAAATTTTTAGGCAAATTGGTATTATGTACCTATTTTTATAACCTGGCAACGAATATAATTTTTTAACCATATCTTGAGGTGCCCTTCTAGGATTGGTGTATTTAAGAGTCTCGCAATTTTCTTATGCAAGCAAAAGTTACTTCTTCAGCTGCACTTTTTGGTGACTTATTGCCGCCGGTTCTGCGGCGCAAGTTCTGAAACACTCTGTATATGTATTAAGTGCTGAATCAAGAGCTAAGTTCAAATCCAAGTTTTTTGTTTGAAAATATTTACTGAATGGTAACGTTATTTCAAAGACGAATTCTATGATAATAAGTAAACTGAATAAAAATTCACATTTTGGAAATCGCAGAAAGCAAAAGTTATGCTTCAATTGGTACTTTTTCATCTGTCCATCCTCTGTTATGACGCCCAATACATGCAAGTACAAAATTCGAATGTTTATATTGATTCTAAAATTAAAATATAATAATTTTAGTTTTGATACTATAAGTACTAAAAAAAAATTTGCCTGATTTTGTTCTCACGGCGCCATTGGTTCCTAAACAAAATAATTTTTTATCTAAAAATGCTGTACTACCTTTCATGAATATACTGTCCATAACAAATTTTCATTTTTTTTCCTTTCTTTGGATGATAGAAAGTGTAAACCCTGTTCATAAATTAAAGAAACACAACCTGTTGCATTATGTTGGTGAAAAAAATAAATCCCCTATGCAAGATTTTCACACTGTTAGGTTGGTTGCAAATTTGCGTCAGATTTGAAGTTTTTGACTTTCATGTCAAATTTCATCAAAATTCAGTTTTGAATATTTATTTATTCCGCACTAAAATGCCTCGAAAGCAAAGAAATTTGCTTAACGCAAAAATGAAGGAAGCCGTTGTGAAATGCAGCGATGAATTGAAACGGTTAGCGCCAGATTTATCTGACCGCCAAATTAACGAAAAGCTTCAAAATATTTTTTCGGTAACATCGGCGTAAAAAGCCAAAAGCGGGATATTCTTGAGGTATGTTTTATTGTCAGACTAAATACGCGGGTAGATAATTAATTTCTCGCAAAAATTATACATAGAAAATGGATAAATTCGATTTATAACTCTCGCGAAGTCTCAATATCTACAAAACTACCTACAAGATTACCCCAACCTAGATTTTCTATTGACTTTTTTTTTTTTGAACCTGCAGCTGAACATTCCTCCAATAATAATTGATCTGGTTGATTCTGATTCTTCATCAACTTGGTCAAGTTCAGATCATGATGAATCCAATAAAGAGAATTTCTTTTAGTTTTGCATTGTTCCACATTCAAGTTTTAAAAAAATCGGTTCTTTTCAGAACCATCAACTTATCACAAATAAAATAACGCTATCATCATAACAACAATGCAAATGGGACATTGAAACTTTTGCTGAAACCGTCGGGGTGAGAAGAAGTTGCTTCTGTGTCTGCCAGTGGTCCTTTTGAACCAATTTTCAATTCTCCGTGCTACAAATTTAAAACCTGAAAAACCAAAAACCGCAACGACGTATGTCGCCCAATACCATCTAAAATATTAAATCCATATAAGACTTCTCTGAGTTCCGTTGGTCAACAAACTTTGTAAAAAAGAAAACATAACCTTATTTTTTTGACACATACGTTCCCACTAGAAAATATAACTAGACAACGTTGCCGGTTGAATTTTGCCGGTTGGGTGTTTCTTTAATTTATGAACAGAGAATATGTTATGTTTTTAAGAGTGCTCAATGCGAATTTGAAAAGCGCTTTAACTTTGAAGGGTTTTAAAATTGGGTAAGTTAATACACCCATCACGGCCAAAATATCACTTTTGAGTACATCATACAGGCTGATTCAACAGGGTCGTAGAACCTCTTATACAGAGTGCGCCAGAACTTACGCAGTAGAGCATGTAAGCTAAGATACCATTAGGAACATAGAAAAAATGTTAAAAAAATCTATAAAAATTTCGAAGTTATGAGAGTTAAAATTTTGCACTTTGACTCGATTTCTGTTGGAAAAATACTTTTCCAAGTTTTTTTACTACAAGCTATTAAAAGAGGAAACAAGGAAGCTGTAACCTGAATTGTATCTCTGCGTAATGTTATTTGTGGCTTTTATTGGCAAAATTTTTATATCTTTACTAAATAATTATAAAAAAAACATATAGAAGATCATCTGTATCATTAAATAGATATGAAAAAATGTCAAATGTCAAAAAATAAATGTCAAAATTTTTTGACAGATAGAATTTTTGAAACATTTTTTCCATGTTTCTGGTATCTTATCTTACTTGAAATGTTTCTCTGGGCCGCGAGTTCTGGAGCACTCTGTATATGGTGATAGAAAACGGTAAAAACATGCAGACATGGTTTAAAACCGTTCTAACGCCGTGTGATTTTGTTGCAAATTTTATACCCTTTCAGAAAATCTCTACACGTGAGAGAGTTTTTTTCCATGTTTTACTTATTATTTTTAAGGTTTTATTTATTTTCTAATACCTATTCTAGATGCGTGTTTTAACGTCTCTTATAAATGAAATAGATATAAAATTACCTTCCATAATAAAAAATATTATTAAACTTATACCTATTTTTAAAGAGCTGTACCTACCTAAGGAAAGCTAATAAAACATTTTGGTTTGCAGTTTTGAGATTAATTCACTAGCTCAAATAACCATATACGAGCGATTGTACGGTACTTTTGAATCACGCTGTATATTTTTCGTGTAGTTATCATTAATTTTATAATTATATGATTATTAAATTTTCTCTTCAAAAACTGGCTACCTATAGTGTTTATAGTTCAAATGAAGATATTCATATTAGGCATAAAAAATATTGTTATTTAAAGACACATCATATTATTATTTTATTAATGAAAAATTCTATATACACAGTAATAAATTGTTGGAACAAAGTCTGACTGTAGGTTAAAAGGTCAAGCTCCATCAACAATAATTAAAACTCTGGAAATTCGTTCATGATGAGTTCTCTTTAATTCAATATTTGTTATATAAAGTTCTTATCAGGCCATCGTTTAAAAATAGGTACATTTACGTAGATACAATAATTATTGATGACATGCTCGCTACATAGTCATAATTTTTAGGATATAAAAAAGAACATTTCATCAAGAGTAGTCAAAGTCAAAATAAGGACATCAAGTTTGTTTTAGGTTTCATAAGCTATAATTGTTTCGTAGAAATTACCATCATCTAAAACTCTAAAATTTTTGTTTCCGAAAATGTTTGTAGGTGTCTACTAAAAGCGAAAAAACTGAAAAATAAATTAAATATTCTTCTATGTTCCTTCATTACTTAATCCAACAATATTTTTAAGTTTTAAGGCAATTTACATTTAAATTAATATTTAATTTGCTGTGCCAACATGCATTATTTCCAAAAAAATACACAAAACTAAGAAATTAAAAAAACATTCAATTTCCGCAAACACATAAATAAAAATTTAAAATGTCAAATAAATGGTGGATGACATTCCCCGCGACGCCAGAATAATGGCGAGTTGGTGTAGTGTCGAATAATTTTCGTAATGGTAAAACGAGTAATTTTCCGCAGATTGTAGAAATTAATTGACGAAAACCGTAGCGATTAAAACAGGCGTTAAAAGAAAATTAAAGCAAGCAACCTACGATAATATAATCTATGTGTATAATAAAACTTTATCTATACTTACCGTATGTTCGTTGATAATCTGGTTTTGTTGCCATATCGGTGTTATCAAAATCAACCACTATCAACAAACCCAACTGCAACGTTTATAACACTCGAGTACAACAGTCATGGCAAGAACGACGGAGCGGTCGGACAGTTTTAATTTTTCAGCGGCCACAATTTTGTAGTGGGGGATTGGTTGGTGCTTGTGTTATTGGTGGGAAGTGGGGAGAAACGCCTCAATTTTATTTGTTTCTTATTTTGGACAAGCGTAAGTATCATTGGGTCTTCTTTAGTCTTACAATTTCTTCCCTATTTGCATATTTTTAAAATACTTTTTGCTGGAAAAACGTACCTGAAGTTTTTTGTTAATCCATGGACTTTTCTTAATCTGAAGCCCCATTAGGAAGTTCCGTAATTTTTTGTTGCTACTGCGTTTTTTGCATTCTTTATTTCAAAATTTGTCACTTTGTTAAACATTCCTTTGAAAAGAAAAGAATTTTAATTTCAAACTGACTACATTTATTCATGTGTATCGACGCCATTTTGGTGCATTCTTTACGTTTAAAGTCAACTGTGGCTCATCTCGTGTAAACAAATTTATTAATTTAAGTTAAGAGACAATACAGACATACATACACTTTGTTTGATAATAATTAATTAATTAAATGTGTACTTAAATAGAAGTATACCTACGTTGTACAACATGAAGGACAAAATAATGAAAAAACACAAATTTTTGTACTTATTTTTACATCTTTAATATGGAAGCCCATTTAAAATCTACACGCGAAAAAAACTCATAAAAAAGTGTTATCAGTAACCCGACAATAAATTTTTCATTAGGTATTGCTAAAAAATGATAAAACTGTAGGTAAGTATTTAACTGCCAAAATATTTTATGAATTTTCACTTTGAAAAAGGTACCAAGTGCAATTAAATATACCTAGTATAAGTAGTTAGAACATTAAAAAAAGAAATGAATGACATTCTAAAAATGATTCTTTTCGGTATTTAATTGGCACTATTCCATTCAGAAAAATGATGAAAAATCCCTATTGATTTTTTATACAAAATTCAATTTAAAAAATTTTTACGTATAGGTAACATACATATTGTGAAAATTTGATCTGTCTGTGAAAACGTAATATGCTTCGAAAAATAACATAGCCATAGGGTAGGTACATTTAACTAATCAACATTAATTTTTTTTTGTCACTGAAGGAGTTACTTTAATATCTCATATATATGAAAAAAACAATTTTTCTTTTTTAAAATTGTCAGTTCAAAATATTAACATTTACACCTTAATTTGGTTTTCAAACCTACTTAAAAAAAGCACTCCAGACAAATAAAAGTTCCGAAAATTTTCTTATAAAAGTTTTTCTTATAAGACCGACGGAAACAAATGGGTTTCTGGATAGGAGAGTGTCAATAAAAATAGTCAAACTAAACGAAAATTTTTCAAAACCTCTCCAATAAAACAAAACAAATGTCAAATTCACTTCTAACACACCTTTTTTTCCCTAATAAAGAAGAGAAAAATGTAAAAACCTTTTGGACAGTGTTGTAAATAAAGACGTAATTATCATGTTCACGTGCGTAACAAAATTAAAATTTTTATGTCTCATGATCATGACACAAAATATGAAAGCAATTTTAAATTAAGAATTTAGTATAAAAATTTTATAATTTGTTGGGCATTTACATAACATCTAATTTTACAACACAGTAGGTAGTTTTAGTACAAATGCAAAAATATTTAATTCTATTTGTCACCTGAGATCAAAACTATAAAAGTGTATGTAAACAATATAAGATTAAATTTATGACATTCTTTCTAAGATTATCTCTGTTTCACATGGCATCAGTAATAAAATAAATACTTTACAAAAACAAATTCAAAATGATGAAAATGAAATTGTGTTACAGAATAACAAATTTTCTTAAGAAAAAAAGATTAACCGCCTATTTAAAAGTTTTAACTTTTTCAAATTTGGAAAGTCATTTTGTTACTAAGTATACATTTTTCTATTGTAAAAACTTAACAATGTTAAAGAATTACAAAAAAACTGATACTGCACTTACTTCTAAAGAAAAATTACTTTTCTTGATATTCCTGGTATGCAAATACCAGCACGAAAAAATAGCACGAAAGTCCATAACAAGCGCTTTTCAAAAATGTCATACAACAGCCTATTTGGTAAAGCCATTTTTCCAATTATTCAAAAACGAAGACGTTGAATTTTTATTTTTTTTTATTATATTCAAGGGTGGGTGGAGGTGTGTCACTTATCATGTCCCCCTAGGAACCACCAAAACGGTTTTGGGTGATTATTAATAACTTTTTCAGTTGAGAGAAATTGCCGATTGCAAGTTTTAAAATTGACACGTGTATAGACGAATTCTGTAATCGCGTTTTATTATTTTGAAACAAAGGTTGACTTGAAAACATGAACAGAATTGTTTATGAAACGAGTGCTTTTTTAATCATTTTCCTTCAGAAAATAATAATTAATAAAAATTAAAGTACCTACTATAAAAAATGTGATGGTGTTAAGAGAATGAAATTTTGTCTTGTTTATGATTTCTGCAATTTTTTCAGATCGACCAATTCAATGAAGACTAACATAATTCATTTTATAATCAACTAAAAAATAATCACTCAGAAATTTTATACCTACCAATTTTAAGTAGAAATATCTGTCTGGCTGCTACTCAATTTTTATATAATGTTATGAATAAATTAGCTAATTTGTTAAAAAAATTTTTTTTATTTTGGTAGATCAACTAAAATCTGCCATTTTTTGAGTTATGATAGTCTTTGTTGTATGGGTCGATATAAAACATTTTTTTCGATAAAAACTGAGTTAAAGATAGATAAGTAGTTGTATAACCCTTAGATCATTGTCTTTGAAACAAAAAGGTTTTATAGTGGGTTGCAAGAATTAAAAATTTTGCAAAATAAAAAAAAGAATATCTCAAAAAAAAATTTCTTTATCATTCATCAATTAATTTTTTCAAAAATGGAAAAAAACGTTTAGTTTCATACTTTTTAATCGCCTATTTAGGTACTTATGCAACAAACTATAGGTACCTATTATGATTAAATTATTACAAAATTATTAAAATCTTTATTAAATACAAATGTTTTTTTTTTAAATTATTACAAGTTGCAAATAAAAATTTAGTTATTGAACTGAGAAATTTTCTAATAACTTCACTTGATAAATGCTTTCTGGAACCATAAATATTAGATATCTTTTCGTATACGCTGACGGCGGCATTTTAGGGTTTGATCCCATCCATCGAAAAGTAAAATTTTTTTTTACGGTTTCTCATTAGTCTTTCAAAAAGATAGATTTCACCATCGTAAAATAAGAAGAAAAACGAGGGATGGTATAAGTTCAATAAAGTTATCATCTGAACTTTGACACTTGACGGGGTCAAATTTGAAGAAACCTTGAAAACAAATCTCCACCTCTCTTACGCTTAAAAGAATGAAATCTGAAAATTAGTTGAGCCGTTTAAATGGAGTTCAAGAGATGAAAAATAAATTATACAATATTTCAAAATCGAAAAACATGTTGTTTGTTTGCTGTTGTGTGCTGTTTACCAAACGAACATTTGCTTGTTGGACTCTTACTTATTACAAAAACATTGTAAATCATCGACTAATTGTTATTGAAACCGCCCTCTTCCAAACAATAACAAAGAGATTAAAATCTGCTTATCCTTTTACCCTTGTTTGGTTTACTTTTAGTCACAATTTGAATAGTCACTGAATATTTGACTTGAGAGATAAGAATTGAGAAATACCATCTTGTCTATTTTTACATTTAGAGCAAATAGTCGTCTTATTGTACTTGTTTTTTCAGGTTTACTCGTTTCTATTGGCTGAGACGAAAGTTCAAATTCCCTCGACACGCCTACAAACCTTGGTTGGGGTAAATGAGCAAGAATTCTTCCATTACAAATTTTTTATTTAACAATTTTAACAATAAAAGTATAAATTAGCAAAGTGTATTGAATTTCAAAATTTCCTCGTCTGGTATTACTACAACACGTAAGTTTATGTAGGTCACGTTTATCACTAGTCCCACCTTTCCGATAAGACGTTTGAAGGAAGTCATTCTAATTAAAATTTAACATTAACGATATTACAGCACAGCGATAACAGTAACGCCAGTTTGCACAGGTAATAAGGTAAACGTTTTATGACTTGGACTTTTGCTCAAATGTGTTGGTTATTGTAGTTTGGTATGTAAATCCATCATAATTCTATTTTTGTTGTAAAATTATTCTCATTTTATTGCTCATTTTGCATTCTTCAATGAGAAGTTATGCATAAGTTTCTCGGAACGGCCAGATTAATTAAATGAAGGTAAATATGACTTCAAAATTTAAATATTTTCCTATTTTAAATTTAAATATTTTTTTGGGAAAGCTATGTTGATTCAAATTTTCACTTGTAAACTTTTTACGACAAAAATGCAGCATCACTCTTCCACAAAATTATTCTTTTAAAGACACCGATCTATTTGTACAAAAAAATTAGTTTTAGATCGGATGTTCACAACCTAAACATTAGATTTAAAGGTTTACTTACCCCTCTACTCCACTCCACTCACTGGAATAATTATTATTATTAAATAACTTAGTGGAGTTATTTAAGAGATCTTTCTCATATCAAATTACTAAATTATACAACAGTTTATCTCATTCGTTTAAAAACCCCAACTCTGCTAAATTTAAACAAACGTTGAAAAATTACTTTTATCCAACCAAGCCTTTAATTACGCCTGATTTAGTTTTTTCTTTTTTGATCTTTTTTTTTTCTTTTTGAATGTTTAGACTATTTTACTTAATATACTTTTTCTTTTTCTGTGTTTCAATTTTTATTTTATTTAAAAAAAAAGCTACACTGTATCTGTTTATTTTGTTTTGCTTAGCTTAAGATGAAAAACAGGGGGTGTGCAATCGCGAGTTTGGTATTGTACACCCATCTGATCTTCGGCTTTTATATGCATGTTTTGTTTAATTTTTTTTTTTTTTTTTTGTATAGTCGCTTTCATATTAATGTGCATCGAAGTAGTCGTTCAAAGGAATCATTTTAAGTTGGCTACCATGCGAAAATTCAAACAATCCTAATCTCAATCCTCCCTAAAACTGTGTACCCCAGTTTTTGAGGAAGCGAAAAATAATTAAACCTAACAACGTAATTAACATAGGGTGGCAAACATAGATTTTTGTCATTTTTTGATGTGATTAAATTTGTTCTGAATGACACTAATGACACTTTTTGTGTGAATCGGTCTCTAATTTAAAGATGCATTTAGACTTCTACAACCTACTTGATGCACATTAATAAGAAAAAGAGTATATTTTATTTTATTGTTTATTTTTTTTTGCATATAATAAAGACCTTTATTATTATTATTATTAAAAAATGTATTGATGTGTATAGTACACTTTTACGAAAAGTTTGTCTAAAATCGCTAATAATTAAGACGAACCCTAATAACTAAAGTTCGGACAAATGTTTTGTTACTGAAAAAAGCAGAAAGTAAAAATTTGAAACAAATAACTTTTTTTAGGAGTAGGTATATCATAAAGCGTAATGTGAAAAATAATATAGGTAACTATAGTAAATAGGAAATTTATTTAAAATAATAAACATTACAATCACAAATAATCAAAACTAAACAATTAAAACAGAAATTTTGGTAACTAAATATTCGGACAAAATACAGTGAAACTCCCATAAGTCGAACTTACTTAAGTCAATTTTTTCCTCGAATAAAAATGCGAGTCTCTTGAAGTTTCTATAACTCGAAGTTTATTTTGCGTCCCTTGAGACTCAACTTATTTAAGTGCCACTGTACTAGTAGTTTTACAGGATTACAAGCTTAATATTCAGTTATTACGTTTCCTTTTGCTATTATACCTGGCCGGCATAATTTTTATCTACTACATTTTTTCAATTTGCTTTTTTAAATCCTCATTTATTCTTAGTGGATAATTTACTAATTTATCATATGGCTTTTCGTTTTGTGTCAAAGAATTTCGATAACATTTAGGTCCAGACTATTTGAAGGCCATGAAAGAATATATAATATTCACCAAACTATTTTTTTTTACAAAAATTGAATGATCTAAAATTTCTTGATATTTCTCTGCATTTACTGTACCGTCAATAAATTGATAATACACCAAACCTCTTGCAGACATGCATCCCTAAATCATCACACTTTTAAGAAACTTTACAGTCCTTTTTAGATAGTTTTTATGGAACACTTTTTCTTTTGAACAAATGACCCTTTTTATATAATCCCACAAACACGTCCAATTTTGGTTCATCACTAAAAATAACTTTACTCTATTTTACTTTTAATTGAGACATAATTTCCCGTCAGTAGTGGCTTTTCCTTGGCTCAAATAAAAATGATTATCTGTTCACAAATTTTGTACCTTATAAAAGCCTAATCCAGAATTATGAATCCATTTTCGGTAATACTCTTGCAAAAAATTAATGACAGACTTGTCATTCCATTGGGTAATAATATCCCGCAAAGTGTATTTTTTCATTTTTTTTTTTTACAAAATATAAATAACTTACTTTGAAAACGCTAGGTAACAATTCTCGGTCTACCTGAACTTTTTCCTTTTACGTTTATTTTTCCAATTTAGGCATTTTTTATATAATCTACTGTAGAATTAGGGATATTCAAACTATTCGCAGTATTTCGTCAGTTTTTTATTAATGATAATTAAAATAATAATACTTTCAAGTTTAACGTTCGTTGTAAATTCACCCATTATTGAGTTAAATTAAATCATAAAGAATTATAATTGTTACACTAAGTGTAACAATTACTTTAACTGTCAAAATAAGCAACTTTTTTCTAGAGATTATTAATAAAAAATACCAATATTGTATATGCATTTTGTCCGAACTTTCGAATTTAAACATTTTGTTATAAAATAGAAGATGTATGCGTTCTACACGGCAAAATTGTCTTTTTGTAGCAAACATAATATTATCCATCGTAATTACTTTATCTTCTACATCAATTCGTACGTAATACATTATTCAACTTCTACAAAATACAGCAATAGTTTTTGTATCTTTAGTATGTTTGTTCGAACATTTAGTTGTTGGGGCTCGTATTTACCTGTTTTGCAAATCCAATTTAGGCACTTTTATTTTCAACACCAACTACCTTTTTGGAACTTAATTTTTTATTATTGTTCTTATTTGTGTGCAAGGAGAATTAATACTACCATTAAAAATTCAATAAATTATATTACATTTATTATCTTATTGCAATTGAGTTTTTGTTTTTTTTTTTTTTTGGATAAAATCATCTAAATATTTTATTATAATATGTTTTTACAAATCATAAAATATTTAGAAAAAAGATTAAAATTACAATAAATACTATATTATGAAGATGCTGTCATTTTCAGTGCCAGCCGCATATGAATTGATTTTGCAACAACCTGACGAAGAATTTCGCCGAAATTATTTCTTATGTCGTGTGTAGATAGTCTGTTGAGCTGCCAAACGGAGACATCATTGAAGATACCGCACGTTTCAATTTCGAAGGCGTTTTATTGAATGAGAAAGCCCGTCCCACCTTCAACTTTGTCCTTGACGCAAATTTAAACGCTTTATTTAACGTTCCTTTGTTCATATCACTAGTGTCTATATCCAACTGATGCGACTCCAAATAAGCCAGAAACTTATCCTAGAAAAATATAATTAACAACTTGGCTCGATTAAAATGAAGTAGACTTACGGCATCAGGTGTGCAGGCGTTATTTGCCATTTGCTTCGTCAAGGTTTTCAAGAACCCTGCTTTATCGGCATCCTCATCCGGCATAGCAAACGAATACACTCTCTCTTTCAACTCGTCGTTATTCCGACAAACGAAACAGAATACTTTCTGACACTGTTCGGTTTCTTTAATATCAATAACTTTTTTTATCGTATTTAATGGCAGTAATTTGACGTGTTTGTACAATTTCGGCCTTTGCAAACTGTTGACACTACCAGTGGGGCTTTTGGCGTTATTAAACGTCTTTGACTTCTTTTTACACACTTCCACTAAGTCGGAGAAGAGGAAGAGGACCAAAGAGTTGCCTTTGCTTGAAAGACCTTCAGTTGTTGACACTTGAATCACTTCCGCTTTTGCTATGAACTTCCGATGGGAGCATACGATGTCCGGTGGGCAATTATCAATATCGTTAAACATGTTGAAAAGGGCCACTTGAGCTTCAGCTTTTCTCTTATCTTCGTTTATAAGATCCATACCTTCTTTTAAACCGTCTAGAGCTCGTTGGAGTTCAGCATGGTCTGGATTGGATTTCGGCGTATGTTTCAGGAGATCTAAAAAAAAAAAAATGTTATTACTTTCCCAATTTACTTAAATAAAGCGACCACAAAACACCCAAAACTTACTTAAACTTCCATCCACCTACTGGTGTTGGATTAGAAAAAAATCAATCATAAATTACTCAATTTTCACCAATAAAAAACACAGAAACTTACTTGCAAGTAACAAACAAATGCTTCCTAATCGTTGTACAGGTCGTATCATCAATTCCTGTAAACTCTGTCTACCACATTCCGGTTTTGTCTGGCATGCTTTCAGGAAAGCATGAAATCGTGGCTTGCTTTGATCACATTTTGTTAAAACTTCCTTCATTTCTTCAAAGTAATTAATATATGGTGGATAGGCCTTGAGCAGATCTTTCGAATATTTCACAATAATACTGCCTATCGTGTGGTCTTCAGACCAAGACGATGCAAAACATCGCAACTCGTCGCGCATTTTCATGTGTGTCTCGTATATCGCTGGTACTTTACCAAAAATCAAATTCAATTCGGTGTTGTTGAGCAAAGCTTCCTCTTCAGGCATTTCTTCTAAATGTTTTTTGAACATCTGAAGATAATTTGCATTGTTAAGAGGGTTAGTCGACAACCACAACGAAGAAAACAAAAGTAAATAAAGAAAAAACAGATTTGTAATTAGTAGAAAAGTATCCAAACCCGAAAACAAACACAAAATAAAAATAACCGAAATCAAAAACAATGGTCTGGTGAATTATAGTCCGGTCATAATAGACATTTCAAATAACTAAAATTCCGACAGAGCTAAATTTTGGTGGAGATCTTGGGTACGCCATTAGGAATAAAATGTCAAAAGTCCCCATCGATCCCATGTGTGCTAAAAAAGTTATTCGGGATCAAAGATCAAAATTTGACTTTTTTTAGATTCTTTTCGAAAACGGTAAGTTTTATCAAAAAAGTAGCCCAGACAAAAATTATAGATGTTAAAATTATCTACAAAAATAGTCTTTATACTTTTTTTTTCTAAGAATCACCATTCCTGAGAGATCGCGATTCTAAAAGTTGAAGGAGTCACGTTCTACATGTTATGCACATACAGAGTGCGCCAGAACTCGCGCCCCAAAGAAAAATGCTATGTAGGGTAAAATACCAGGAACATGGAAAAAATTAAAAAAAAATCTATCTATAAATATTTCGAAATTATGTGGGTTTAAATTTTGCACTTTGACTACATTTATTTCTGTAGGATAAATAATTTTTCACGTTTTTTTGCTGCAGGCAATTAGAAGCGGAAACAAGGAAGCTGTATCCTAAACTGTAACTCTGTTTAATGTTATTTGTAGGTTTATTGGCAAAAGTTTTGTACCTTTACTAAATAATTGTAAAAAAAACATATACAAAATCATCAGTATCATTAAATAGACATAAAAAATGTCAAATGTCAAAAAATAAATGTCAAAATTTTTTGACAGATAGAATTTTTTAAACATTTTTTCCATGATTCTGGTATCTTACTTGAAATTTTTCTTCTACTTCATTAAATTTATAAATATCTCGATTCCACTAGAATTAAAAAGAAATTTATTTGGTAATACATACATCGTGTTCAAAAAATCGCGCATTTCCTTGAAAGGGAGTAATTGGGTAGTCCCCAGAGTACTGAAAAAAATGTTTAAAAAATTCTGTCAAAAAATTTTGGTATTTATTTTTTGACATTTAACATTTTTTATGTCTATTTAATAACACTGATGACCTTGTATATGTTTTTTTTTATATTATTTAGTAAAGGTACAAAAATTTTGTCAATAAAAGCCACAAATAACATTAAACAGAGTTACAGTTTAGGATACAGCTTCCTTGTTTCCGCTTCTAATAGTCTGTAGCAAAAAAACATGGAAAATTATTTTTCCAACAGAAATAAATAAAGAGTCAAAGTGCAAGATTTAAACTCTCATAACTTTGAAATTTTTATAGATAGAATTTTTTAATTTTTTCTATGTTCCTGGTACCTTACCCTACATGGCATTTGCTTTAGGGTGCGACTTCTGGCGCACTCAGTGTGTGCATATGATGTAGAACGTTACTCAACTTTTAGAATCGCGATATCTCAGGAATGGTGATTCTTAGAAAAAAAAGTATAAAGACCATTTTTGTAGATAATTTTAAGATCTATAATTTTTGTCTGGGTTACTTTTTTGATAAAACTTACCGTTTACGAAAAAAATTTAAAAAACCTCAAATTTTGATCTTTGACCCCGAATAACTTTTTTAGCACACATGGGATCYATGGYGACTTTTGACACTTTATTTCTAATGGTGTACCCAAGGTCTCCACCAAAATTTAGCTCTGTCGGAATTTTCGTTATTTGACCACTATTTTTATGACTAATTTGAGCGGACTATTATTACAAAATTACTACTCGAAACTCACAAACGAAAAAAATTAATACAAGTTTCATAAAGCTTCTGTTTTTCGTACTTTACTCGTTTCGAAAACTCGAAATCGACTTACGGTTATGATGGTATGCAGAATATCAACATAATTAGATTCGGTTTGAACCAATTCCAGGAAAACCTGCTGCCTGGCAGTCAACCCTTTCCTTGGCGTATCAATGGACGATTCCGTACCATCGGTTAAAGCTTTATCTGGACTGGCGGTGCAGTCTAAGAAAGAACCAGACACTGACAACAGTCCTGCATCACTTACTGAAGAGCGTCGCTTATGCAAACCTGGTGATTGCTGATGTGTCAACGACAACACAGCTTCATGTAAACGTTTACGTTTCCGTCTACTGGCGCTACTTGGTGTCGCTTGATGCGATTCTCTTCGAGTCGGCGAAAACGTTTGTTCGACATACTATAAAAAACTCAATTTTGCACAAAAAACTATTTCACGGTGTTTACAACAACTTACGTCATCATATAGATACTCTTTCTCGTCTAGACAAATCTCTTTTTGTACTGAAGTCCAAAACCATTCGGCTTTCACTAGGAAAACTTTAGGTGACGTTGTTTCGGGTCTTTCGGCCACCGAGGATTCATCAACGACCTAAATGAGAGAAAGGATTAGGATGTAGTTGAGATATTTGTCCCGTTTATCGATTGAAGATGATGGATCTCGCCAAGTTGTACTTAAAAACTGTCATTGAAAGAGAGTAGAGAGTCATTGCAACTATTTTTCAACTCTCTTTCAAGTCAAAAACAAAAACAAAAAAGTAGAAAGTGCGGATTTTTAACTTATACAATGTATTTGGTTTAGGAAGGTTTGTAAAATCTAATTAAAAATGACTAATAAAAAAAATATTGAAGAGGTGCTTACTGCGATCTAGAAAAATTAATGATTTTACAGTCTTTCATCTCAGCTCTCCTCTTCTGTAGCTCAGTTCTTACTTAAGTTGGAATTTTGATATTTTGTAGACTTTATTTATATTCTAAGGTGTATTTCAGGATGTCCCCAAAAAACGTGACATCATAATAATACATTTTTTTAATGGCATACTATTATTTTATGTGCTCATTAAGATGCCTTTTTAGTTATTTACATATCCCCATGGTTTTTTTAAATCGGTTCAGGCGTTTCTGTTAAAAAAATCGTTTTTGCACCTTTACATTTAAAACTTAATAAAAAAATACAAATAGTGCCCTTTTTATAAAATCAATACATAAATAAAGTCTAATAATCTTGTTAATCAAGTCTCGTTGGTCGAATTACTACAGGGAGTGCACAATTTACTATCAAAGTTTTCACATCTAAAAGCTTTTTATTTTTCTTATTTTAAATTATGACCCCTATTAATTTTTATACAGTATGTCGCCAGATTGAGTTTACAAAAGAAATTTTTTTTATATTTGATTTTACGCCAAAATTGCAAAGGAAAAACATTTTTTGCTTCACCTGAAACGAGCAAATCTGAAATTAAAATTGCTTTATTCTGATTCATTGGAAAGAAAAGTTCATTTTTGTCTTTATTTTGGACTTAGAATAATTTTTCTCTGCGTTTTGAATCTGGTCACATTGGTGGTTTTATATTTTTTTTGACAACGATGCCATTTAGACAAATCGAGCAAGTTAAATAACAAAAATCTTTCTGAAAAACATAATTTTAATAAATAGCAACTCAAAGAAACAACTTTAAGATAGAAAACAAAGTTATTTTTAACAAAAACTTGTCAAAAGAACATAGTTGTCAAACAAATATGGTGACATCCTTTGCGGTTTTGGCGTAAAATCAAAGATACTATTTTTTTCCTTTTGTAAACCCAATCCGGCGACACACTGTGTAATTCGAAGTGGAATTAAAAAACGAATATTTTTCTAATTGCAACCCTATCTCAAATCTTAACACATTCGGAGTTATTTGCTAAAAACTTTGTCAACTATTTTAATGTCAATTTTAATGAATAAAAGTCGAAGATGGCTTAAGTAATAGCCGAGCTACAGAAGACGGGAGCAGAGATGAAGGTAATGTTAGATTATCAAAAAACTGCTACATAATATGTTAACTAATGGTGTTACTACCAATTTAATAACTTTTGACAGGGTAAATTTGTTTATACCAAATACATTATGTAACATGATGACAATTAAAAATTGTTTAGTAATAGTCTACAAGCAAAAATTAGTAAAAATCTACAATTTCCAGCGTTCGTGCTTAAAATTTCGCCATGTTTGCAAAATTTGAACCACGAACGGATTAATACAGATTGTGATGAAGTTAGTACCGATATAGTAGGCACAGAAGGTCCACGTGCGTCCTTGGTACAATCACCGCGAAGCTCACTATGTGGTACAGGATTAAGGGAAATATTCGGGAAACAGCTAGCATTGAGAGGTTCATGTCCATCATTATCGGAAACTTCACTAAACGACAGCCTTGTCGCATTCAAATTACATTTCTTCAACTTGCTGCGATTAAACTTGGACGAACTAAAAGTACGCGCAAACAGATTCTTTTTCTGTTTATTGCTCGATTGTGGCGTAAATTGACTCTGATTCAAAACGCTTAAATTCTCAATCGTATCAACATTAAACACACCCGAACTAGAAACGACACTCTGATTTAAGGTTTCGTTAAAACTGAACGCGTCGATTGTACGTCGACGATTCGATAAATAGTTGAGCGGCGTTTTGAAAATACCGGAAACTTTTCTCTTTCGCTCGCTGGCACATTTATCTTTTCTTCGTTTGGTTTTCACGGATGACTCGGTCTCCGTCGATGAGATCTTTCGTTTACGACTGCCTGAAGAAAACTCGGAGGTAGCCAAGTTTGAATCGTCGAGACAACTATCGCGAGATTTTTCATGTAATGTTTCGAGAAAGCCGTGATAATTTAGATGGTCAGGAGGATCGGGAATAGAGGGATTGACAGGTTCAGTGGGAGAAAGCGGTGCACTAGCGGCTTCAAGTGTGCAGACTTCTGAACGTTCCATTACCTAGAACCCAGGACCATGCTTTATGCAATTTACGTCTGCATTTGATGCAACTTCAAGCGTGGAACAACTTTATGATGCATTTCTTAGACACTTAATGGCGTGATGAAAGACACGACGACAAAATACACCACCAGTTCACAAGCAAAGTCTTGATAAAAATTCAACTTATTTCGCTATCAGCGAAAGTCTCTCTGATAACTTGCTTTATCAATGTTTGTATAAAAGTTGGTAACAAAACCCAGAAGATTACTAAATTCACACTAGTTTATTTGAGGAAATTAAACATCACATTGTTTGAAAGGTCTTAGAAATATTACCACTACAATGTGTGTGTTTACAGGTGACTTAAAAATAATTAGTTATCATGGAATTTTATCAAGACTTCGTTAAGAAAGAACATTAAAAAAACTCACCACGTGGCTACATTGTGGATCGTCTAAACTAGTCACAGTGCCACCATTTGACAACAAAATATCAGTCATGTGTTTTTTCTCATCTTCCGCAAATCCAACGAAACACACTTTAGCACCATGGAAAGGCTTCAACTTGAATTCAGTCTAAAAATTTTTTTTTACTAAAGTGGTAATGTTTATTATTGCTAGATTTACCACAAATGCGTCCACCGTTGCACTAAAATTAATATCATGTCTTTTCTTCCAACTTGCATAGACCCATTCTGGATTCATCACAGGCACTCGAAATACAGCAGCGTAACGATATTTTTCTCCATTACAAATGTTGGCAATTAAATGCGTCACTTTCTCGCTTATGTTTTTCCTGATGGAACCACCCATATGATGGATTAATGGTACTAATGTTGCCTGGAATGCATAATAAAAATATCCATTATTTAATTTTCTAACGTTGTTTAAAAGAGAAAAATTCGGTTTATGTGTTTTACGATCTGTAAATACACTTCACTGAGAGTATGACCATTTTTTTAGAAATGTGGATGATCAATAAAAATAATAAATGCGAGGTATTTCAGTATTCAACAAAGATAGAATTATTCAGTGATTAATAGCACACATAAAATAAATATTAAACAAACTAAATAGATATTACGTAATTGAAAATGCTATTAATTTTCTCAATTAATGTATTTGTTATTATTTAAAAAAAAAATAGTAAGATATAATATATAATATAGTGTGTCACAACTTGCGCTCCAGAAAAAAATTTCAAGTAAGATAAGATACCAGGAACATAGAAAAAAAGTTTAAAAAATTCTATCTGTCAAAAAATTTTGACATTTAGTTTTTGACATTTGATTTTTTTATAGCTATTAATACAGGGTGTTTCACATAACATTACGAGGCTTGCACCTAATGTACGCACCCAAATATACAAAAGTCACAGAACACTGGATACAAAAAATACACATTTAATTATTTAATTTTTGGAAACCCATGACAGTAGTTGTGAAACTAATCATTGTTTCATTATTAGTCATAAACTGCAGTTTTTCAGAAATAATAATCATTTGTTCTATTAAGAGACGCCATGAATATGATTCTAGTTTATCTATCTTAATCACTAACTAACTAAAAACGTTGTAATTTTTGAAAGGGTGAACAAACTAGAGAAGATTATCCAATTTCGTATCGAGTTCGTATCGGAATATGTATTATTGATTGCATCTTACAGGCGCAGACCTCGTAAAATTACGTGAAACACCCTGTATAACGAGAATAATTAAGCGATTTATAATAATCGAGGGCGATGCTAGGTGACGAGGCTAGCCGAGTCACCTGCGCATCGTCCGAGATGGTTTAAATCGCTAATATTCGTGTTATATTCAAAGCATTATCGTTTCATCTACTTATTATTTGTGGAAACATTTTAGATTTGCAAGATGATCGAGTGAATAGGAGAGGCAATGTGTCAAATTCGGTGTTAATGAAATTTTGTACCTAATATATTTTGAGTTGGTATCTAACGTATAATGTCTCGTATCAAACGTATTAAGCAAACATAGTAGATGATGATACGATAAAGTCTATTATAATGATACTGATGATTTATATGTTTTTTTATCATATTTTAGTAAAGGAAAAAAAATTGACAATAAAAGCCGACACAGAGTTACAATTTAGGATACAGCTTCCTTGTTTCCTCTTCTAATAGCCAGTAGAAAAAACTTTGAAAATTACTTTTCCAAATAAAAAACTGTCCACATTTTAAATGCAAATTTATGTTTTACATATTATTTGTTTCTTTAAAGATTTTTAAATATTCAAATTACACTGATTTAAAATACTACTAGAATTTAAATTAGAGTAATAATTAACTTCTAACACAGTTTCTGCATTATGAAACAATTCTCAATCTGAATTACATAAAAAAAATGGCGATATTATTCACTTATGTTTTTACACAAAACTGAATAAACATAAAACTTAAATAAAACTCCTGACAATGCTAACAAAAATATTTATCACTTTACCTGTCTAATAAAAAGGTAACTAATTAAATTAGAATTCTGTTTATTTTATGTTTTTTATTTATAAAATACTTTTACGTTTCATTTTCAACAAATGCAACCCCTCAAAAGCCATAACATCTCAAATGGTAACAATAAAATAAACTGTTGTTAAACGTGAGTACGTTGATTATTCTATTTATAGCATCAAAATGCAAATTAATGTGTAGTACCCAAACATGAATGAATGAATAACGAGCCAAAACGTTTAAACTGATATGGTTTCTGCAATAAACATTTTTAAATGTCTTAAGTACACTGAAATTGCTTTTAAATTGTGACTAGACAAATTTATTACTTCATTAATAGACAAACATTAATTAATAGTACTTGCAAAACAGAAAAAATACTGACCAGATCACTTTTGTTCCTGAATCCTGTAAAACAGACAACGACCCCCGTCATCGCCAGGTTAAAAAGGGGCCTTGTGTTATCTGGAAGTGGTTCATTCTTGTTGGCTAGCTGCTGCAAAGCCAAAGGTCCCAAAAGGGACTGTTTCTGTTTATATAAACAATTATATACATCTCCTTCAAAACTCTCTAATATAAAAACAGTACTAAAACTATCATCTTGAGCACAATCTTCTCCGTCTTTTGAAGTGATAACCGGCACACGGAAGGATTCTGCAACAGTCCGAAGGGCTGTATCGCTGGCCAAAGTCCCAACCAAACATATCCTTCGGTTGCTTTTTATGGGTGCAACTAGATTAAAACAGAACATTAGTAACATCTGATCAAATTCACAAGTTTATATAAATTCGTTTAGCAGAGATAAATTGTTTTAACCTTGCTTTGATCAACATAACCTAACAAATTCCGGTCCGAAAATTTGTTTACAAATGAGGTGACAAGGGGGCGATTGAGGTCAAAATGGGGTCCTCACCGTCATTTCCCGCGGTTTCCTCCCAATTTGAGTCACTACAAATGGAACTTTGGGGCTGAATGCGTGCGTCCATTTTGAAGCGACTTTTTGGTTACACCATCAGTACTCAAGCACAAAATTTTCACGTTATCTAGTCTATCCCACAACTGTCTCTTATCACACGGTTAAAATCGGTCACTTATCACACTACAAACTATCTTAAACACATTTTTGAGCGTTTTTACTTTGTTTGGAACTAAAAATGGACCATCCATTCCATACCAAAACTTCAAAGTCAAATGAAGCTCTCTGATTGGTCGGTTTGATTCGTCAGGTACAGAATTACTAGCAGTTTCCGTCCCGTTTACGACAATCTGTACGTCAATTGCGTATCTTTTGCACATGAAACGGTGAGATACAAAAATGGGCGTTGGAAAAAATTCAGATGAAATCGCGGTCATTCAAATTTACGTACAACCGTTCTTGGAAGTGACTCATCCTCTTCCACTTCTGCGCGGCAAAAAACCGTCGTCCGAATGATTTTTTGCCGGATTGTCGGAAAATAGACACAAGTTTATTTTTGTAAACACTTTTCCTATTAATAGTTGATTTACGTAGGTCAAGTTTTGCGAAAATGGACTTTTGGGAGAAAAAAAAACCAATTGATCGGTTTTTGGCACCCGTTCGAGACCTCATTAACTAATCGTAGAAAAAATATTTCTTGAATTAATCAGATTTTATTTACTCGAAATTTCTATTAATGATATTTTTGTTGTCCAAATTTCAAGTTTGCCAACATTGTATACAGGTGGTCTAAAAGCATGGCATAATTTTTTGAATAAATTTTTTCAATTTTTATAACTTTGTACATACATAACATACTTGCAAATGCAACACTATAACTACTTAAAAGAGAGTATTTTATAAAGTCTGTTTTTTTAACGGGAATGTCAAACAGTCTTAATGTCAAATTGATTCATGGTAATTTTAATAAAAGAGGTTTTCGATTTAATTTATACGAAATTTAGACGCAATTTGTAACACAGGTTTGTATTATTATTATTTTTTGATATTTTAAATGGAACAATTATTGTTTCCTTTTTTAAATACATAAATCCTTGATATGTTAATACTGAAAAAAATATTCAAAAATCTATTATTATCATTATTAAAATCGTCAACACAAAGATTGACACACTGAATTTCAAAAATTTGTTAAAAAATATGTATACAGAGAATTTTATTTATTTAATTACATTTCCTGTTGCGTTTTGAATTGTTTAAAATTGATTTTAAATTGCATTTATTTGAGATATTGACGTGTTTTCAAGACTGTGTATACTATTAAAAAGAAGTCTCTGTATAAAGTTGTGTTAATGCAAAAGTAAGTTTTCAATTAACAGTTGGTACTGAAAGCGAATATATTTATTAAAAAAGGTAAAATTACAAAAAGGTACATAGCTAGTGCGTTAAAACTTTAAAGCCACTTTGTACCCTGCGGTGTTCATTCAAACGTTAGTTCATTAGAAAAAATATTTGCAATCTGTTCTAACAAAAAAACAAACCTTCTTGTAACAATTCAAAAAATTTTCACTTTCGATATATCTGAAACCGTTAATTTGCGTGCCCATGTTTATTAAGACATTTTTGTTTATTTCTGTCCATACTATTACCTCCATCAATATTTTTTAACACCCTGTGCAATTAGGCCCCGCTCAGGTGTGTACTTATAGCGTTTACTCCACTCTACCAAAATTTGAGTATTCCTTTGCTGTTTCTGTTTAATTTTTCAAAAGATTTTCACTTGTAAATTCCAAACTAAAAATAATTCCAAGACTTTTGTTATTTTTTTTTAAATCAAAGAACCATCAACACTGCAATTCACACCGAAATAATATTAAAACTATAAGCTGGAATATTCTTCTTCTTGGTATGGAAACGATGAACAAAAACGTGTGACGGGCTAATCGTGTTTTTGTTCAAAGCTGCAATATGTTCTACAAATTGCAGCTTTTATTTAAATGAAAGAACAGAAGTAACAGAAAAAAGAACCCAATTTGTTTCTTTTGAAAAATATACTCTAGCAACGCCGCAAACACAAACAAATTTTTGATTGTATGATTTTTTATTTTGTTTTCTTCTGCGTCCGTTTTATCTCCTTCGTAAAATAAAGGTCAATAGAGTAAACAAAAATAAACAAAAGCCTTTATTTAACACGTTTATTCTATAAAATTTGTAACAATCAACGATATTTGGAATCTTTTCTATCGTTTCTACTTTCTCGTCTACTTCTACTCCTTTTTCTACTTTTAGAACTTCTCCTATTATGTGATCTATCCTGAGTTCGTCTTTTAGAATTAGATCCATTTCTTGTGTGTTTTTCTTCACGCTTTTTATGGCTACTTGTGTGATTACCCGGAAATCTTTCGGGTGATTCAGACCATCTCCAATTTCTTTCTTCTGTCTCCGCCCTGCTAATACTGTAAATACAAAACTTTTTAATAAATTTAATACTTTTCAACATAAATTATTGCTTCTTTAGAACTATAAAAAATTACCTTCTGGACGGTGTTCTATGTTCATCTCTGTCAGCTAAATAAAACAAGTTATGTGGATTTGGAAACACGTGAAGAAAATTGCAAGAACTGCCTTTGGGACACCTTTTGCGACTATGTAAACCTAAAAATAATTGTTCTAAGCAAAAAGAAAAAAAACAGTATCAAGTATTAATCACCACAAATCGCTGATTTCCAGGACTCAATGTTACAAAACTCGACACTTAGCTGTTTGCCCCCGTACCAACGTCCGTTAAAAACGTGAAAACTCCTCACAGCCTCCCGAGTCGTACTGTATTCGACATAAACGTTCCCTCGTAAATGCGATTCGCGATTACAACAAACTTTAAACTGGCGAATTCTCCCATACCTTTCCATTTCAGGTAATACGTCAAAGAAGAAATCTTTAAAATGCGAATACGTTTCGTGATTTTCAAACTCCAACGACGAGTCGTCATATTCACTTTCAGTCTGTTCTAAACTATAGTGTGAATAAAAATTTGGTATAAGCAAAATTCGACTAACTCCCGGTTTGATGTGATTGCGAGAACACGAATCTTTGAAGCGACACGCTGAGGTTTTTTGAAAAAAGGGACAAACTGGTTTATTTGGATTCATTTCAATATAGACTTTAAGGTGTTCAGGAGTGTCGCCGCCATGGGCGATAAAGTTTTCAATTTCTTCACGAAGTTGCTGCTGTCTTTTTTCATTTTCTTCACGTTCTCGTTCTTTGGCTTCTTTTAGGTCTTTGAGTCGTTTTTGTTCCTTCTCCCATTCTAGTTTAATAAGCAAGTTTTGGCGAATTCTATCTTCACGAGCTTCTTCAAGCTTCTTTTGTAATTCCCGCCATTGTTTTTGCGCTTCTTCTTCGATTTGCAACCATCGTTGCTCCGCTTCGGCTCTCAATCTAGCTTCTTCTTCTTCTTGAAACGCCTCTTCCTCTTCATATTTTTGAAGAAGTTGAATGTATGTCGGGGATTGTTCTCGTTTTCTTTGTTCTGTATTGAGAAAATAATTTGTGGACTGTTGGGTGTGAAAAATTTGAAACACAAACCTTGTTCTTCTTTTTCATGTCTGATTTTCGCTAGAGATTGTCTAATACGTTTTCTTCTAACTTTTTTAGCAATCTTTCTCCATTTCTCATGTCTATGTAAATCATTAAGAAAACATAACGCTTATTTGTAAGAGGTGTTATCCCATAATAATAAATATGTTAATAATACAATCAAGGACAATTATTTTTAAAAAGGATACCTACTTCCCCATTAATTCTTGCTGAATGTCTGAAAATATCTTCAAAAAAGATTAAATGGAATTTAATCAACACCTAATATAGAAAGTTATCCACAAAATATCAGAAGAAACCACAAAATGCCAAAAATTGTTTTTCTAATGACAAACAAACGCACAAAACTCAAAATCTAACCTCAAAAGTCGGTGAAATGTCAAAAATGTCAAATGAAAAATAATTCCGATTGTACATCAGACCGAATCAGAAAATTAAAAAAATGGAGTTAATGCGTTTTTTGCACTCCAAAAACCCTAAAAACCCATAAAACCTTTTTCGATCAAGTTTGAAAAAAGTAGAGTTGCACATTCCTAAAACTGATAACATTTTTTAATATTCAGTAGTAGTTATTTATTCAGTCTTCTAATCTTCTATGTTAAAATTGAATTTTATCTACTCTTTTCTTCATGTTAAAATAAAATTTTATCGTATAAATGATTAGTGAGGATTGAATAAAATTTTATATTGTACAGTTACGAAATTGAAATTTCGGGCAGTATTTTTTTGTCACTTCAAAAAGTTCACTGTAAACTATCTTTTAAACTACGCTATTTTTTAAGTCAAAATGACATAAACATGACAAGAGTATAAATGAGGTTATTAATGTAAAGGTTGTTTTAGAGTTTACATTACGAAAATGACAATACTGCCCGAAATTTTAATTCCGCAACTGTAAGCGACGATAAAATTTTCATTATCTTTTGGAGCATATTAGCGTCTCGGCTGACGCTTAGACGCTAAATTGCTCTCAAAGATAAAATTCAATTTTATCGTCTTGTATAATAATAGTTTTATTATACAATCCTCACTAATTTTGTAGTCAATTTGGTCGATATTTATAATTGTCAAAGTAAAATTCAACAATGAAATTTAATGTCAAAGATTGTTAGCAACAAACAACCGCACATATACTATAATGGATGTATTTTTTATCATCTAGACGATAAAATTTTATTTTAACATGAAGAAAAGAGTAGATAAAATTCAATTTTAACATAGAGGTTGAATAAAAGTATTAAAATTATCTCAAAAACTCTTATGTATCTATCAAAATCTATAGTTACAGATGTTAAACTTCCTATCTAAAAAAGGTTTTTTTGGTTGAAACCTATCAAAGTAAACACAAAAATAAGTAATACTAATTCATCGTTTATTAATATATTATAACAACATTTACATACAAAATCCAACAATATAGGAATATTACATGTGTATTAAATAAAAAACTACTACTAGCTATTGGATTGCTTTTTTTAGTAATAAAACAATTATTTAGCACCGTTCGTCCCATGTAAAGTCCTATGCACATAAAAATCACTTTCTTTTAATTTCCTATAAAGTGAAATATATTTCCCCGCGGAAGTTGTTCTAGGCACAATAAATTTTTCACAAAAAGCCGTCTTATTACTCGCTGCTTCGCTCAAATTTCCATAATGTAAATTCATTAAAAATGTTAAAACGAAAGTATAGCAATTATGTCTATTTTCACTGTAGGCTTTAGACGACCAGCATTTTTGTTTACAAACTTGGAACAAAGTGTTGTCCCAATGTTCCGTCCAGGAACTTGGAACTTGATCGAGGAGTAAGCACTGGTTCCATTGTTCACTCCGGTGTCTTCTTAGGCCGTTTTTGTCGAATTCTACGATGGTTCCCGTTGAAGTCGTAACGCCGATATGCAAATCCATCGAATTGTAGTAATCGCTAGAAAGGATAATAGGTCGTAATAAATTATAATTGTATAAAACGAGCAATTACTTTAAAAAATCACCGGATGTTGGTTTTATAATTACAGAACAAGGATACTGTGATGCTCGAATGAACGGGTACGGAACTCTGCAAATAAATTAATAAATTAACAGTTATCAACAGTTGTAACCTGGATTTATTTTATGTATGAAAATAAATGTACTTTTTACGTACCTGAAGGGCAAGAGAGAAAAGTTTGTTTGCGAAAGATCTGCTCCGCATACTGGACATGTTTCCGGCAGTAAGAAGCAGAAAATTTTAGGACCACAGTGTTGGAAACAAACAATACCCGGATCCATTACTTTCATTACGAATCACCTCTGCAACAATGTAATGAGCTATGAAATAAGTTACCTAACCACATTGGTAATATCTATTTGTGTCGAAAATTAACACACTTTAGAATACAACAATAAAAACGACATTTTCACTCGGTCACTTTATTATTATAGTTGGTCGAAAAATGTAAGAAAATGTATGTTAAAATTTTGAGATAAAAAAATCAGATCGACCCCTGATTTTTTCTAAGAAGCTTTTCTTAAAAATTGTCACTGTTAGAAAAAGTTAGGTATATAATTTTTTTAACATTTTTTTTCATGTTCCTGGTATCTTACCTTACACATGGCATTTTTCTCTGGGGCGCGAGTTTTGGCGCACCTGTATACCAAGTGAGTCAAATTTTATCCCAACCCTACAAAACACTTCTTTTTAATTAAACTAAAATTCTGAAAAAATCATAGGTAGTTTTCATTTGGCATTAAAAGTTATTTGATATAATGTATCAACAACATAGACAGATAGATAGATAATTTATTGTGTTCAAAATTTATACAAAATTTTACACTCGTCAATATTAGATATAACTACAATGAAAGATATAAAAAACATAAATATTCATTGAAAGAATAGAAAGCATTTTCATAAGAATTGTTTTAGTTTGGCGTTTAAATGATTCAAAACGAAGAGTCTGAATATATGAACGTAGCGCATTATAAAATCTAAAACACAATAATATCCACTGCTGTTCCTTGATTTCGATAATCTTAAGAAGTTAGGTCTATACAAGTTACAATTTCTGGTGGCATAAGTATGGTCGTAACATTTATAAAAAAAATTGTTTTTGTGAATAAATAATAAACATTGAAATATAGAGGATAGGTATCTATTAAAAATTTACAAGTTATTCAACTTTAAATAACCATTTTAACTTTTTTAACATTCATTGCGTTAAAAAATACAATAGCCCTAAAGTTTAACCTTTCTTCTTTAAAGCAGTGAAAATCCGAGAGAAAATCTTATTTTTTTAAGATTGTAAAAATTCTAACGTTTAAAAAATATCAAATAAAGTTCAAGATCCAAGCAATAGAAGACAATAACATTAACAAAATTATAAAAAATTACAATAAATATAAAAGTTTTANAATATAAAAGTTTTATTAATAAAAAAAACATAAGTTTGTACTGTATTGTCTGTCATTCATTTTATTTTTTTGTGATACAATTTTTAATTTGTAACTATTTTAACATTTTCACTAGGTATTTTAATATTTAAAGGTAAATAACGATTTTTAATAATTAATAATTTTTCAGAATTTTAGTTGGGTATGTGCATTAGAAAGAGGTGTTTTAAGGGTGCGAATAAAACTTGACTTTGCTACATTATAAAGTAAAATCGTTTTCCTAAAACCTACTAAAAATTTTATGACACATTATAACCACCTGGTTTTATTAAATTTCTTAAAACACTTGACTTTAATAACAACTACATTAAAGATTATTAAAACATTTCAAGTATTTTAGACAAAAATAAAGTAAGTAATCCGACCCTGTTAAAAACTGACCTGTTTCAGGGTCCGGGTGGGTTCCACTAATTTATGATTTGTTTACCCTCTGGTTACTTACTCTTAAGAATACCGCATTTAACTTAAAAGTAATAAAATTTTTAGTAGGTCTTAGGAAAACGATTTTACTATAATTAAAAAATTAGACAAACAATTAAACGAGATCAAATAAAAAATGTTCAACTTACGTGTTTAACATTACTTAATAAAATCAAAAGTTTTGCTATTTAAAATAAAAACTAAAAATATGAAAAATAATTTTCTTTAAAAAACAGATTTGATGATTTCTTTTGTATAACTGAAAAAAAATCGAAATGTAGCTGTAGTTGTAGTTTGAAAATTTGAAAATGTAAAAAGTACAGAAAACTTGAAAAAACAGATTTGTCAGTTCTGAAGTCTGAAAGATTTCATTTTTGAAATAACATGAGAATAACTTGTACATATATGAAGGTGTCTATACAGAGTGTTTAGTGATTGTAGAAGTGAATTCACTTGTTTACAATTCAGATTAATAATTAAGCATCGCGTTTTTTACTATTTGGTCTATTAATTATTACGTTGATCATGTTTACCTTTCCGTATCGTTAGAACACCTGCATCATGTGCCAGAGTTTACATTTCAATTATAAAATATCACAAATAACTACACGTTTCTAGTCTTATTATTCGCGCCATATTTGTGTATAATAAAAAAAAAACCGGAAGTAATAAATGCTCAACATTGTTAAGCAATAATTTCATTCCAACAACTGGAATATGTATTACCTTGGCAATCTTAGCAAAATTCCCTCCAAGACCTTCACAATGACGACTCCATTTTGCAATCATTTTTCTCTTATTTCTTTGCAATGATCATAATTTTTGCTGCGAAAATAAACGTGAAACAAACATGAGATCACAGCCTCCTACTTGCACAACGAACAGTAAACAACTGAATACAATACGGAATCACCGACACCGTTCTCGTAGTAGGCCGTGCGGTCATAAAACTTTTACCTTTGCGTACCTGCCGTTTCTTGACTCACCATTGTTGTTTATATGTTACCATAGCAACCGTATGTGGTGTGGAAGTGTATCACTCTCCCGGCGCGCATACGAAATTTTTATTTCCGGAAAAGTGAAGCAGGTGGTGGTTAATTATAACGGAAACGTCGAATTATCTTTATTGTAAGTAGGATGACTTTAAACGGTTGTTGCTAGATTTTTGTTAAATGTAGCATAGATTTTTCCGTTTTTGTGTAAATGGAAATGTGTTGCTTCTGTGCCAATACGGGAAAAATAATCGATAGTTAGAGAACACTGTGTTAGTGGTATTTCTTGAAACCGTGGAAAAATATTATAATCAGTTAAAATATATCACTCAATTTTAATTATTGCCAGATTTTTGCGTTATAAACTATTTATAAAATTTCCAGACAAGTAATAAATATAGTTTTTAATGATGTAAAGACATAAAAATTTATGTATGAAACAATACTTTTTAGGAAAAAAAAAATAAAATAAATAATTTTTGAAAACTATAATTTCTTTGGGTGTAGCAGGTGTTGTATAGGCAGCCAATATCTAATTAACTTATTTCGTTCCCATAGTTTCCTTTATAGATCGACTTCTAAAAGTATATTAGGAAAAGTTAATTTAGTATTTCATAATTTGTGAATTTATAACTTTGATGAATAAATAATTAATTTGTCATTAAACCTGAAAAATAACTAAAAAGCGTTACCAAATTTTAATTTTAGGTCGAAAAGGGATGAACTTGTTTTTGCATTTTGACAATTTTATGTCAAAAACTTTATTTATAGAAAAATAGGAGTAGGTATTTAAAAAGTAGATTAATTTAAAGTTTTGTACATCGTTTTCATAGTTGGTTTTCTAAACTAATTAACTATGTTTAATCAAAATCCGCATTGTTGGCTTAATTTGCGTGCAGGAAACCAATCGTTTATTCAGTAATTAACAGTCACGTTTCCAATATTGAATATTATTATATTAAATAAACAATACCACACATTAGAAGTTACATAAAGATAATGCAAAAATTGTTAAAAATTAAAATTATTTAAATTTCCAAATGCCTAGATGTGACGTATAAGATAGTGAAACTATGTCAGTTCTTTATTGTTAACTGTCTTCATTAAAAAAATTTGGCGGCGTAATTATAATTAATTTTGAATACAAATTTTAATTACATGACCGTAAACATGAATTCTTATTAATTTTTCTAAAGAGAAACTTTCTTTTATTGTCTCACTCAATAGTGTTAAATGCTAGGGGCCAGATCTACGGATATCCGACCTAAAACCTCCTTTTGTCTTGCCAGAAGTCGTTACAAATGTGTGAAATGTCCTAATCTATTGTTTTAGTAATAAGATGTGCATATAGTAAAATTCTAGAGCACAGTAATTGTGAAGATAATCAACTATGATTACGAATTTCACAAGAAGTTCATTCAGTATTGTAAATAGATGCGAATTATGAAGGAAACTTTATGTGCGCTTTAGCTTAAGAAAAATTGTAGAATTGGTCACAAAAATTTCGATTTTTTTTCTAGACGTAAAATCGATACAACCGGTTAAAATGTTCGACGAGTAGATTTCGAGTAATCAGCACATTATTGGTTATTTTTGAGCGTTTCATGCGATCACCTAATACATAAGTCGGCTTTTCCAGCATCCGGGGATGAAAATAAGCGCCCGGAGTCGAAGAAACTCCATGTAAAATTCTCCGGAGAATTTGAATATGCGAAGTATTTTTGTCAAGAAACCAAAATTTCGAATCGTATTTTTTTCTAATTTTTTATGTAATTTTTTTAACCAAATCCATAGCTTTGATCTTCTTTTTACACTTTTTTTATTTCGTGTTTGATATCTTTATTGTCTACTGATACCTATTGTCTACTGATCTATTTGATACTTAATAAATCATGTTTTTCTGTTCCTCTAACTTCCTTGACTTTCTCATTATTTTACCTGATTTCCTCATGATTTCTCCTGATTTTCCTTAATTTGTCTGCAAATAAACAAAAAACCTACTTGCGCATGCGCATTTACAATGATTTCTTTTTGTTTTTTTATGATTTACCCTGTTTTCCCAAATTTTGTACATTACATAATTATATTGCTTGTTTTTGCTACGATTTCTCATAATTTTCCAAGTAATTTTCCCTAATCTCTCTAGGTTTCCTCTAATTTACTCATGATTTTAGTCATGATTTTCCTTAATTTCTCTATACGGGATGTCCCAGCGAGTTGGTAAAGTCCAATATTGACCTTTAAACGATAGAATTTTAAAACTTGTACATATATCGGAAATTGATAGATGCCAATCTAGTCGCATCAATTATTTTCTACTATACAGTGTGTCTCAAAAATAAGTTACAATACAAACTTGTGTTTTTTGTAAATAAATCACCATATGTTTCTTAGCATTTTTGAATGTAGATTTTTATGACAATGTTTTTAAGCTAAACTTTTATTAGTCGATTGTGCTTAGTTTTAAAAATAAGACAGTTTTTTTGATAAAAACATACACTTGTAAAAATTTATTACACAAAAACTAAGACGTCTAGAAATATTTTTTTTTACTACCTCAAAGAAAAAGACACAAGCTATAAAGCTGTAATATTTTTTTAGTGTGTTGCATTTGCAAAGTTAAAAAAATGAAGACGTCTGTTAAAAGTTCAATAACTTAAAAAAATTTAAATGGAATACCCTATTTATTGTTTTTGCCTTTAAAAGATTATTAAATTTCCTTTCCAAAATCATTTACTTTTAAGTGTTTATAATCAATAACTAAAAAGATATTTAACATTAAACATAAAAAAAATGATAACTATTGTCAGCTAAAAAGTTCACAGTTGCACAAGAAATGGAAGAAATATCACTTAATAATCACATTTATGTTAAACTGAATCCATTATTCTTTATTTTTACAATAAAATAATTGAAATTTCAGTATTTATAACGACTTTTACAATATCTGGATAAATCAACGGATAAGTGATCCGTGGTGGAATTACTATGGTTGCTCATATGTATATTGATTGATAGGTATTGTTGCTACAATTACTATTGAATGTTAAATATCTTTTTATTTATCAATTCTAGGCATTTAAAAGTTTATGTTTTAGGTAGACAATTTAAAAACAATAAGTTTTAATTTTTTGAAGTTATTTAACTTTTAACAAACTTCTTCATTTTTTAATTTTTACAAATGCAAAAGTGTAAAAAATTGGTACAGCTTTAAATTCTGTACTTTCTTGTCTGCAGAAGTAAGAAAAAAAATATTGTAGCTGTCTTAGTTTTTGTGTAATGAATTTTTTAAAAGTGCATGTTTTCGTCAAAAAAACCGTCTTATTTTTAAAACTAATCAAAATCGAGCAATTAAAGTGTAGCTCGAAAACATTGTCATAAAAATGCTAAGAAATATATGGTGTTTCATTTAATAAAAAAACACAAGTTTGTATTATAACTTATTTTTGGGACACGCTGTATAGTTGAAAATAATTTTAGGCGATAGACTAAAATAGTATATTAATCAATTTCCTATATACATATTTTAAAATTTTATCGTTTAAAGGTCAATATTGGACTTTACCAACTCGCTGGGACATCCTGTATAATTTCTCTTGATTTCCCCCGATTTTCTCAAGATTTTTATTAATTTGTCAACAAATAAACAAAAAAGGTGCAATGTGCATTTTTAATAATTTTCAATAATTTTGTCCAAAATCAGATTTCCTCTGATTTGCCCAATTTTGGACACCAGATTTTCTTTTATTGATTTGATTTTTCCCGATTTCCTTAATTTCCTTATAATTTCGCTATAATATCCCTAATTTATTCAAAACTTTCCCTGATGATTTCTTCATAATTTTCACTGATTTCCTCATAATTTTCCACTATTTTCTCAAGATTAATTAATTAGTCAACAAATAAACACAAAAGCTACTTGTGCATGTGCAATTTCAAAATTTTTATTTTGATTTTCTTATTATTTACCTTTGTTTCCTCATTTTTTCTTCTGATTTTTCCAATTTTGTACACCTGATATGTATATCCTTTTTTGATTTGATTTTCTTGATTTCCTTATGATTTTCCCCGATTTCTCTTGGTTTCGCCTGATTTAATAATAGTTTCCTCTGATTTCCACAATTTGTGGACCAGATTTCTTCTTTTGCTTTGATTTTCCCTGATTCCCTTGATTCCTCATTTCTCTCAATTTGCCTTAATTATTTATTCATGATTTTCCTTTATTTTCTCATAATTTTCCATAATTTCCCCATGATTTTCTTAAAATTTTCATTAATTTGTTAACGCATGAATAAACAAAAGCTAATTGTGCATGAGCGTTTATCAATAATTTTCATTTGATTTCCTCATCATTATTTCCTCTGATTTCTCTCAATTTAGTACACTTCCTGTTTTGCTTTAATTTTCTTCTGATTTTCAGTGACTTCTCTATGATTTCCCCTGATTTCCTAAAAATTTCCTCTAACTTATCAAAAAATGAACAAAAAACCAATAATGTTCCTTAATTTCCTCTAATTTCCTCATAATTTTCCCAATTACCCTTCCGTTAGATTTTGGCACTGTACTCACCCAACTATATTCATTAGAAAAATTCACCATTCCCGTTGAATATTTTGGAAAAAAATATTAAAAAATCAAGAAGTAAATTCCTATCAAATCCAATGATATAGAATTCTTCAAAAAAAAGTTCAACTACCAACTTTTTTAAAATAATTTTTAGCATTTCAGCCAATAATGCAGTATGTGGTCGGTCGGTAGCGACGGGAGAACCCTGTTCCTCCTCTTAATCCCCTTTTTCCTCCTCCCACTGGAAGTTTCAGCCGGTCTGGCTTGCCTCAGCAACCCTTGCGTGCATGGCGTCTGCTTAGACGACTTGAATTCGACATACTTTTGCTATTGCATCGATGGCTACACAGGAATACAATGCCAGAAAAACTGGAATGAATGTTGGTCATCTCCTTGCAAAAATGGAGGTATTTGCATTGACGGAGTTGCCTCATTTAATTGTAGCTGTCCCCCGGGATTTGTTGGTACAAAAACACTCACAACTTTGATTCTTCGTTACTATAAACATTTCCAATTAGGAGAATTGTGCGAAGAAGATTTCAACGAGTGCGAAAGCAACCCTTGTCTGAATAATGGCACATGTCTTGATGCAGCCAACGGGTATTTTTGCAGTTGCTTGCCTGGGTATTCAGGGGTGCATTGCGAAGTTGACGTGGCGGTTTGCAACGCGACGAATGAGACTAGATGTGCAAATGGAGGGATTTGTGTCGAGGGACCTGGAGATTCTTTCTCTTGTAAATGTCAACCAGGTATTAGTAAATAATCTTGTGGAAACACTATGAAAATGGGAGTTTCAGGATGGGAAGGACTTTTATGTGAAAATGAAGTCGACGAGTGCATGTCTGCACCATGTCAAAATGGGGCTGTTTGCGTCGACCTAATGGCAGATTACTCCTGTGCCTGCCTCTTTGGTACAATTCCAACACAATTTTATAAAAAAAACTAATTGATGAATCTATCCACTAAAAAATGTGATCGTTTTTTGAAAATAATTTTTTTAGATTTTTGTTTTGTGTTCGATTTCTTTAATTTTTTCTAAATGACAACATACAATTTTTTCGAAAAATAGTTTCATAAAACTCACGAAAAAATATTTTTAGTTTATCTTTCATCAATTATTTTTTGTGGAAACAAATAGTTAGACGCTTGGTGCCATATTTTTTGTTTACCTTTTATATAGGATGTTCCAGCGAGTTGGTAAAGTCCAATGTTGACCTTTAAATGATAAAATTTTAAAAGATGTCTACTATAGGAAATTGATAGATACTAACTAATCTAGTGCATTACCTAAAATTATTTTCAATCATATAGCATGTCCCATAAATAAGTTACGATACAAATTTGTATTTTCTTAAATGAAACAGCATACGAGTATGAACATAAAACACTATTAGCCCGTGACACCAAAAAGCCACAAATAACATTGAACAGAGTTACAATTTAGGATATAGCTTCCTTGTTTTCTCTTTTAATAGCCTATAGCAAAAAAACTTGGAAAATTATTTTTCCAACAGAAATAGATAAGTCAAAGTGCAAACTTTAAACCCTCAACTTCGAAACTTTTATAGATAAAATTTTTTTAACATTTTTTCCATGTTCCTGATATCTTACCTTATATGGCGCGAGTTCTGGCTCATCCTGTATATTTTATCATTTTAAGGTCACTAATGGACCACTAACTCGCTGGGACATCCTGTATATTGTTTGAAGAAATGTCTATTTGTTGTGTAGGATTTTCTGGACGGAACTGTGAAGAAACCGTGAAAATGTGCGACGTCAACCCTTGCGCAAATGGTGCTCTTTGTCTCAAAGAAGATCATCAACCAGTTTGTTACTGTGTTCCCGACTTTCACGGCGATTTGTGTCAGTTTCAGTATGACGAATGCCAACTAGGGCCTAAGTAAGTATAAAATACATTTTTACAAAAATTATTAACCATAATTGAAGATGCATGAATGGTGGTACTTGTGTGGATGGTATTGACAATTCCACTTGTTCATGTCCGCCAAATCTCACAGGTGTTCAGTGTGAGTGCCTTATCTTAGACAATGGTGACTTGGATTGTACTTATACAAGTCCACAACCCATTTCACCCATTGGGACTTCACCCATTTTTCACCCAACAACAACCACTCATCTAATCACAGAAACAGAAGTGCCAAATACCACTATAACCGTAGAACCATATTCTACGAGTGTCACTTGGACAACAACTGAATTTGTACCATCGACAACTTACAGCCAAACAAAGATCACCACTGAGTTAACTGAGACAATCTTTGTCTATTCAACAACACCAAAAATAACAGAAATTAGTGTGATTACAACAGAAACTGAAACACCGACAACTGAAACAACTTTTAGTACAATAACAACAACCGAAACTTATACAGAACCTGTATATAACGCTACTGGAAAAACTATTACAGTACTGTCAACTGAAACTTCCACTTTTTCTCCCGTTACTACTCTAATCCCTATATCTTCCTCCCTCAAAGAAGAATCAAACATTTCTCTTCCCGACGAAACAACAACCTCCTTTCTTACAAAAGAACCAGAAACAACAACTGGACTCACAGACTTTTTAACTGAAACAACAACAAAACAAATGACTGAAACCACCGTCATTCCTTTCGACTGTACAAAAACTCACTGCCAAAATGGAGGAACTTGTGTTTACAAATCGGAATTAGGATATCAAGTATATTTTACAAAAAATAATTCTTGTGTAATAAAATATTTTAGTGTTTATGTCCTTTTGATACCGAAGGCGACTTCTGTGAGCTGAAAATGGGTGTTCAAAAAGCCGCTTTCACTGGCCAGTCTTACCTGAAACACCGTTTACCCGACAGTACAAACATTTCAATAGAATTAGATGCAAAAACCCTGTCTTCGAAAGGATTGCTATTCTATTCCAACACAGATTCGACTTATATGGTGCTATACATTGAAAATGGACATTTAAAATTTAAATTTTCGTGTGGGTACCAAACTATGTTACTCAGTGAACTGAAAATACCTGTAAATAATGGTGACCTCATGAAAATCAAAGCAAAGTGAGCCGAGTTATTGTTTTGATTTGATGATCAATAGTAGAATTGTAGATTGGAGTTTAGTAGAGATTTGAAACGATGTGATGCTTCAATCAAAGTTAATGATTCTCTTTCCATGACTGGTGACCAATTAGCACTCAAAAGACGGTTTTCGAAACCTTCTGGATGGTTGTATTTGGGTGGGGTTCCCGAAGAACTCGCAAATATTAACTTACCAGATACTGGTTTCATCGGGTGTATGCTCAGGCTTAAGGTATGTGAAAAATGAGCAAAATTTTTCTGCTATTAACTTAGTCGGCTAGCAGGCAACGCAAAAGACGCGTAGTTAACGTTGAACTATATTAAATTAAAAAAATCATGGTTTAAAAATTATGAAAAAAATATCATGGCCTTAGCAACAATTATACAGGATGCGCCAGAACTCGCGCCCCAGAGAAAAATACCATGGAAGGTAAGATACCTGGAAGGTGGAAAAATGTTAAAAAAATTCAATCTACAAAAATTTCGAAGTTATGAGAGTTTAGATTTTGCAATTTGACTTTATTTATTTCTTGGAAGCAGTATCCTAAATTATAATTGTTTAATGTTATTTGTGGCTTTTATGGGTACCTTTACTACATAATTATAAAAAAAACATACTTATACAAGATCATCAGCATCATTAAATAGACATAAAAATGTCTAAATTTTTTGACAGATAGAATTTTTTAAACATTTTTTCCTGGTATCTTTTATTATTTGAAATTTTTCTCTAGGGCGCGAGTTCTGACTCACCTGTATAGTACATTAATTTAAATTTTTTGCATGTGTAAAAAATATATTAAAAAGAACATCTATTTTTGACCATTTTGATTTTTTATAAAAAAAAACTGTACATAAGAATTTTTTTTATTTTTTGAGTATAGTAGATGATAACCTACATACACTGTGTCAATTTTAAGACTTGCAATCGGCAATTTCTCTCAACTGAAAAAGTTATTAATAATCACTCAAAACCATTTTGGTGGTTCCTAGGGAGAATTAAAATGACATGATAAGTGACACACCTCCACCCACCCTTGAATATAGTAAAAAAAATTAAAATTTAACGTCTTCGTTTTTGAATAATTGGAAAAATAACTTTACCAAATAGGCTGTTGTATGACATTTTTGAAAAGCGCTTGTTATGGGCTTTCCAAAGATATATCGCAAGTAGGGTCGTGCCATTTAAAATTTTCAACTTAAGGTGGCTGTGGCTTAAGGGTGGGTGGAGGAGCGTCACCTACCATGTCATTCTGATTCCCCCTAAAAACCACCGAAACGGTTTCGAGTTATTCTCAAAAACTTGTTTAGTTCTAGAGATATTGCCGATTGCAAGTTTTCAAATTGACACCCTGTATGTTAGGTACTGTATTTTTTCATACAATTTGAATTATATGTTTTTTCATAAAAGATAAAAACAATTGAATTTTGCAATTTGTTACAAATATTTAAAATAAGATAACTGTGTGTGAGGTACTAATTTAATTTACTAACAACATCAAATTGTAAACAAAACCAATTTTTTTACTCTTTTTCTTAAAAATTCAATTTAATTTTGTTCGTTTGAAGACTCGTTTGAAGTTTTCCTTAGAGCGTGGCCTGTACAAAAGCGACAAATTGTTAATACTAAAAATGCAAAAATCTCAAAATGAAAAGAATAGTAATTTATAAATTATGTACTATATTTTTTGATTGTTCCAACTTATTACAACTATTATTGTGGGATTGTGGCGTCACCATCTATTTATCTTTCTGTTTTTAGCCATTGAAATTAAAAGGAACAAAGCAAAAGTAATTCCTGTTTGTAAATTGACAAAAATGTTCACACGAAGAATCAGTTTTTTAAACACTTTTTCAATTTAGTTTAAATTAAATTACTGATATTAGTGAAATGTATACGGAAAAACGGTTTTACATTCGCGTAAGATAAGATGCAAACTCGCATATTATCAATATTTTCAATCGGGAAACAATTTTGTTAAAAATTTAAATTCAGTTTTATAATTGTATTGTAATATTATCTTTCTAACGAGGGTGTCTTTCTCGGGTGGTTGCAATAAATAATACCTTTTTCCAGCCATATTGAATTACACTCCTATTATTTAGACTGATTTGAAATTTGTATTTATTATGATTTTATTTATAATTGTAATTTTTTTATTTGAGTAAAAAATTAAGATAATGTCAGTGACTCAGCGTACCAAAATGCAGATTTTATTTTATATGGTAAAAATTTCAATGTTTCATTGCGTTAGCAGGGAAGCGGAATATAAGCAACTTCTAAGGAATTCCACAAAAATGGGTGTTACGAGTATCTCCCACAAATTAATTTAATTTATACTAGAAATTATTATAGCTTCATATTTTAGGAATATCTTTTATCTTTGCAGCTTTAATTACTTCTTATTGTCATATTTGTCAGATTTATTTTTGCAAAGTGAGATAAATAAAATACTACAGAAGGAGGATACAGGGGTGTAAACACAAAATTTGCGCAGTTTTGAGTTTTATAAATTTTTCACAAAATCGTCTTCTTTATAGTAAAAGCAATTTCAAATCAAAAAACGACTTCCGGATTTGAATTCAGCAGAAAATTTTACATAAGAATCAGTTTTTAAAATTCATGTGTCCTCGAATTTTCTAATTCGTTTTGTAGGTTTCCGACAAGAATTTAGATATTTTCAATGACGCTGAAGACGGCTACGGTGTCACGGAATGCTCCTCTTTGGCTTGTTTATCAAACCCTTGTAGTAATGGCGCTACTTGCTACTCACAGGGTGAAAAATGGACTTGTCATTGCAAAAATGGGTTGGTTTGAAATATTCTAATTTTTTTGCTTATTATTTTTGTAAACAGATTTTTGGGGAAAATGTGCGAAAAATCAGTTTGTGACACCAACCCTTGCCTTTTCGGCGGCACTTGTATCCAATTTTCCGGCAGCGGCTACATTTGTTTATGTCCATTTGGCAAACACGGCCACTTCTGCGAAAACGGTACTTAGCCCAGTCAAATTAGAGAAAAATAGGGCGATCGGTGGAAAAAAATCCTAGAGAGTTGGAATTTTTTTAAACGCTTTCTTTATTCTTGGATAGACATATATCAAAAGTCCCCGAAGGTGGGGGGCGCGCTCGAGGAGGGGGAGGGGGCTAAAGGTGTCTTTTTTGTTTTTTTGCTTATATCTCGGAAACTATTACTCCTAACGGTTTTTGCCTGCTTATCAAAATTAAAGCCTACTAAATTTCCTACAAAAATGGTCCTTTGCATTTTTTTTGTAGGACTAACTCTAAGTGAGTTATAGGGCTGAAAAAAAACATCATTTAAAAAAATGTGCTTTATCCGCATTTAAAACAGAATTAATCTTGTGATTTGAAAAAACTGAAGGCAAATTGAATTCATTGGGTGCAACACTTCATTAGAGAGTCTATAAAGTCTTCCGAGTCGTCCTCATATGCTGCATCTTCGTCTTCAACTTAAACATTGAAAACCGAATTACAGTCTTGTTCAGTACAATATTAATAAATAGATGATTTAATATCGATGATTTAAATAAAGCTTACAGTAAATTGAATGTATTGGATCCAATAATTTACTAGAAGGTGCCACGAGGGTCTATCAAGTCTTCCGAGTCATCCTTATATGCTGAACTAGCATTTACCTGCGACTTTGTCGGCGTGTATTTCTTATATTAAATGGGAAAAAGCCCGTTCACATTCCATAGGCGTAGGTACTCTATAAAGCTAGACAATTACCTATGTTATGTATAGGATTCAGTTATAGTCGTTCTTCGCATGGGCTATGTTTATGGATAAATATTCAATGTTGATTTTCATAAAGTGTCGTCTCAGTGTACTTCTGCACTCTCAAAATTAGAAATTTCATGTTTCTAATTTTGTTTTTAAGCGTTTAAACTCTATTTTATTTCATTAAAATTTGAAAAGTGTTTTTCCACACTCTCTAAGGATCATATTTTCTAAATTTAATGTTTTTATATCCCTTTAAATGTGTACACTATTTTATTCCCTTAAAAACTAATTTTCGAAAAATCTGATTTTAGTGCCCCTTTACACGTCTAAAGAATTTTATGTTTATATCTTTATTTAAACATTTAAAGCACATTTTTTTAAATGATTTTTTTTCAGCCCTATAACTCGCTTACAGTTAGTCATACAACAAAAATGCAAAGGATCATTTTTGTAGGAAATTTTGTAGGCTTTAATTTTGATAAGCAGGCAAAAACCGTTAGGAGTAATAGTTTCCGAGATATAAGCAAAAAAACAAAAGAAGATACCTTTAGCCCCCTCCCCCTCATCGAGCTCGCCACCCACCTTTGGGGACTTTTGATATATGTTTACCAAAGTGTAAAGAAAGCGTTTAAAAAAATTTCAACTCTCTTTCACCACCGATTTGTCTAATTTGACTGGGCTAACTCACAATCTCTTGATAACTCAATTCAAACAAATTTTTTAAGACTTGAAGATAACTGAGCCAAACTTTTCGTCAACAATTCGCGGCTTGTCCTCATTTGTCGCTTACCCAATCCCTGGCGGCATTTCCGAAAACATGGAAATCAGATTCAGATTTCTCCCATCGGTGATGGACCAAATATCACTTTTGATGTTCATGGGTCAGAAAGGTCACCATGACTATTATTCCGATCACATGGCGGTGAGTTTCGTCAAGGGGTACATCATGCTGACGTGGAATCTGGGATCAGGACCGAGGAGGATTTTCACACCGCAGCCCATCGACGAAGGGCCCAAAAATTACCTAGTCCGGGTGGGCCGCTCCGGACGGAGGGCATGGCTTGATGTGGAGAATTTGGGGAATGTGACTGGGAGATCCCCCGGGAATCTGATCCAATTGGATGTGTCCCCGATTTTATACCTTGGTGGACACGACTCCCTGAATTTCTCCACGCTCCCCCATGATTTGCCCTTGCATACAGGTTTCGCCGGGTGTATTTTCGACGTTGAGTTGATAACCGGGAATCTGGTGATTCCCCTGCAAGGATCAAGACAGACAATAGGGAGAGGTGTGGGACAGTGTGGCACGACGGAATGTTACGAACAAAGTTGTCAAAACGGTGGAATTTGTCTCCACCATGCGAGTACTTTCATGTGTTTATGTCAAGATGGCTGGTTTGGGCCCTTGTGCACGTTTAGGAGAAATCCATGCGATTCGGATTATCACAAATGTGAGGCTGGGGCGACCTGTGTGCCTGTGATGTCAGACTATGAGTGTGATTGTCCCATTGGAAAATCAGGGAAATTTTGCGACAAAGGTTGGTTGTTTTAAATTTTTTGGGGAAGTGTAATTTTTTATAAACTTGCAGATGAGGACATCACTGATGTCAATTTCACCGGTTTGAGATCATTTCTTTCGCTTCCATCGACGGAATTCAGCGAAAATCACTTTAATGTTGAGATGGAAGTTCGTCCATTGGACGACAATGGTTTGTTGTTTTTCATTGAGAGACCTGGGGCAAGTTTCATTTCATTAACTTTGTCTAGTGGAAGTTTAGAATTGAGAATACTCTCATGTAAGTAGTGCACAATTTTTTATTTGTTAATAATGTTTCTAATTTAAAGATAAAAATAAAGCTGCCCCAAATGAACCTACGACAATCAGAAGTACCAAAATACTAATCAAAGGAATTTGGTATAAAATGCAGTTGGGAATATTTGGGAAAAAGGCGTATTTGTCTGTTGATAATATAATCAATTCTGGTATTTTGGATACCGAAACTGGAATAAATATGTCAAAAGAGAACATATTTATAGGTGAAAATCTCCAAGTGCGGGAACTTAAATTACGTTTCACTTTACTTAAAACAATGTAACATAGAAACCTTATTTTTGGTGAATGGGAATTTCTATTTTTAAGACAATAACAACGTTAGACTCAATGAACCGAAAAAATTAAATTACTTTGTCTTTGTTAATTATAAGAGATATTTACGCAATAACCAGTTCCATTTATTGCACACTATAAACGGCAACTAAATAAGCATTTTTACGTATAAACATAATATTTGCCAACATTTTTTACTCTTTGAAAGCAAAATAAAAATGAAGACAATTTCAGTCTGTTTTCAACGGATCAGACCCTTTTCAAATTAATAATTGATCGATGATTTTAATAAAAATTTTGACACTTCAGTGCTCTGATTTCGAAGAGAAATTTTAGAGTACCTATCTATAATGTTTATTACAAAATGATGTAAATTTTGACATTAAAAATTAAAAAAAAAAACACTAAAACCAAAACATAGTTGTAAAAAGATTGTTTCCACTAAACCAACTTAGGTACATAAAAATACATAAAATAGAAATATCAAAATTTTATTACAAAATTAAATTGGTTAAAGATTGCTATTTTAAAATAATTAGAAAATCTTTTTTTAAGGTAACCTAATTAATTATTGATTTTCTCGAGGATTTTCACATTACTGCAAATGATTTTTTTTAATTTAATGAGCGTTTGGTTAATTAATGTACATTGAATTCTACAAGGTATTATTACAAACTGAAACAGGTGAATATTCAATGTAACTATAAAAACGGAACAAGCAGAGCAAAAAGTATGTACCTAACCAAGCGTTTTTTTATCATTTACCTTCAGATAATAAAAATTTATGATATTCAAAGTGGTTTAAAAAATGTGATCGTGTTTTAGGAATGAAATTTTGTTTTGTTTTTAATTTTTATTTCAGAGAACATATGAATTTTTTTTTCGATAAAAATTAGGTAGTTGTAATCCTTAGATTACACAGGGCGACAAAAAAAGTTATCTCGTGACAACTTGACAAATTTTATATCATTTTGTTCGCCTCAGTGAGACAAATCAAATGCACTAAAAAAAATTTAAAAAGTCCAAACACTTTATACTAAATATTTTTTTCTAATTTAAATGAATTTAAAATACTTTAAATTTAAAAAATCATTACTCAATAACTATTAGGTCGATTTCCTTCAAATAAAGACCACTCTAAAGAGATGGACTTGCCCTTTAGAATGATATGCAATTGGAAATTGAATATTGGCAAACTTTTCTTCGAACACTGTTCGAAGAAGTTCGAAGTAAATCGAAATAATCTAAGAAAAACCCTACGAGTATTTTTTTTCTTTGTCACCATCGTGTAGATTTTTGCTTGATTAGCAAACCTTAACTTCAAAAAATCATATCTTGAAAACTACTCGGTGTATTTTTTTTTAAAAATTTGGATTACAACTAATAAAGAGATGCTCTACACGATGGTAATGACGAAAAAATTACTCGTAGGGTTTTTCTTAGATTATTTTGTTTTACTTCGAACTTCTTCGAACACTGAAGAGAAGTTTGCTAATATTTAATTTCAAATTTTATATCATTCTAATGGGCAAGGCCATCCCTTTAGAATGGTCTTTATTTGAACGAAATCGGCCTAATAGTTATTGAGTAATGATTTTTTAAAGTTAAAGTATTTTAAATTCATTTAAATTAGAAAAAAAATATTTGGTATAAAGTGTGTGGACCTTTAAAAAATTTTTTTAGTGCATTTGATTTGTCTACTGAGACGAACAAAATGATATATAATCTGTCTAGTTGTCACGACATGACTTTTTTTTGTCGCCTTGTGTTATAGCCTTTGCAAAAAAAGATTTTAGAGTGGGTTCCCATTTGAAAAAATTAAAAAATTTATAGAACTCAAAAACAAACAATTCTTGTAACGTCCACATTTTTATAGTACTTATACATATGTACTTTACCACTCTTCAATTAGTTTTTCCAAAAAATAAATAGTTTAACAAGAAACATTTAGTTTCATACTTTTTGTTCACCTGGTATAGTCAAAAGTAGGGAAAAAAATTAAAACTTTTTTGGCGGAACATTTAAAAAAAATTGGCCAGATCAACTGTGTTTTTAATTGTCTTTGTTTTCAATTTTATTAATATTTTTGACGATACAAATTATGACTTCACCGACTATTATTGTACGGGAGAACAAATCGACCTGTCCAAAGTCTCCTACGAAAAAATATAAATTTTATTCAATTATTTGTTTAAAATTATTTGTTAAAAATGACAAAAAAGTGAGTGTACAAATGTTTTTAAAAAGATAAACTTTTTTTTAGGAGGCCACCCCGACATTTCCACCCTCCCCTTGCACGCAATATCAAAACTCCCTGTCCCCTACAAAGGCTGCATTCGCGGCTTTTCCGTGAATGGAGTCCACATTCCGCTCAATAAAATGAGCATTTTGAACGGCCGAAATATCAACGATTGCGACGGCACTCCCTGTGGCAAAGACGCCTGTTTAAATGGGGGCACTTGTTGGCTTGACTCATTCATGAAACCGCACTGTTCTTGTCCTCAAACTTTCTATGGAAATAAATGTGAATCTATTTCGGAATGTGATAACACGAAATGCAAAAACACCGGCCTGTGTGTGGGCCCTAAATGTTCGTGCCATCTAGGATGGGAAGGAGTTTACTGTGAAAAACAAATTAAAGTCACTACACCGGAATTCACAGGCCGCAGTTATCTCATAGTCAAGAAAAATAATGAAAAGAAGAGGAATATTCCGGGAGTTGAAGTGAAGAATTTGTATTTGAATTTTACGACGATTAAGAGGGATGGGCTTGTTTTGTGGAGCAGAAAAGTAAGCATAAACAAAGTTAATTCCATTTTTTGTTATTTTCTTTTCAGGAAAATTCGTTCATTGGTGTGGGTCTTGAAAACGGATTTCTAAAAATCGCATATTCCGTTGATAAGAGAACTGGGACAAAATTAGTTAGTTTGCCCTTTTATTATAAAATATCAGACGGTTTGTGGCATAACATCGAGCTCAGTTTTGCTCCATTTCTAATCAAATTAGACCAAAATAAAATTGTTTATAAAGGCAAACATAAAAAAATGTTGGAGAATACAACAATGTCCACCGATGGTCTCTTCTACATTGGAGGCATTCCCACAAAAACGTCCATCAAGAAAGAAACAAATGGTACATTTATTGACACTTTTGAGGGTTGCATTGAAGGTTTTGCCACCAATGGCGAAAAAGTTATTCGTGATTTTACATCTTTTGAAGGGAGAGATATTAATGTATGCAGAATGATTTAAATATTACCAGCAGAAAGTGGAAAAAATCTCATTTCGGAGAGTAGAGAATGATTTGTAGATATTCTAGATGTCTTCGTGTTTTTGTTAGTAGAAGAACGAGAAAGAAGGAAAAGGCAAGATTGCAATTTTGAAGTGTTTATCTTTCATCAGTTCATCACGTAATCACTGCCAAAAACAAATGCTATAGATAAACACTGTTTATTTACATATAGGATGCACATGCCATTGAAAACATTTTATAAGAAAGTAATAGAAGTGTGCAGAGCAAAAATAAATGAGTTGTTAATAATTTGTCGTGTTTTTGAATAAAAAAACTAAAAATTTCTTATTAATTTAACTAGTTAAGGAAGTAATAAAACCAAATATCTGTAAAAAATTATATTAAATATATTGAACAGCTGATTTTATAAAACAATACTTTCCATTTCAGACATGGAGGAAATTGCAAAGTGTAAGCGTTTATAGCAAACTTAAATACAGAAAAAGTCAAATCCGACATCTTTTTTAGCCAATTTTAATCTGGTTTCACCCATTTTATTGTAAATTTTTTTATTAAAATAAATAGAAATATAATTATTTATCTTCATAAAAATTAAATCTTATAAAACAGTTTTCAATTTGTTTTAATTTCAATTTACTAAAAGATAAAACATCAGATAAAATATAATTAAAAACATTTAAATAGCTTTCATTTGCGCCATGAGTTCCTCTAAACTCGTATCATCGCTTTTAGATACCTCAACATCTCCAATTTCTTTATCAGGAACTGTGTAAGCCAAACTAACACCCGAGGCTACATTTTGACTTCCTTTCTCATTTTCAACACTTTCATCAACGAGTGAAATGCCCCATTCATTATCCTCGTGGAGAGGTGTATCACTCTCCTGTGTATTTTCAACAATTTGGACTTTAGGTTTAGCTGCAAATTCCTTCTGTCTTAACCGACAATTGGAATCATCACAGTGTGGATTAGGTTTCAAATTCATGTTTGGGAAAAAATCGGTTAAAGCACTATATCCCAGATAGTTAGAAACGTTGCCGAATTTTAAGAGGTATTTTAAGGCATTTTGAACTAGAAAACCTGCAATTACGCCCATGGTTGTTGGAAGACTTGCTGCACAGACACCGTCCCTTTTCAAGGTCTTCTCGTCGATGTTTGATGCTACTACCAGTGGAGGGGCGCACTGTAATGTGATTTATTATTTTTTATTTTTTGGACTTTGGATAACAAACCGCAAAACATGCAGTCTCCCCAGGTACAATAAATTGGACGTGACCTGAGACGGCGTTTTCTGACACTCCTGACTCGAACCAAGTCAAGTTGAATTCATTACATACTGCGTTTATCGTAAACCTTGCTTCAAAGTTATCAACACAACTTAAAACAAGGTCAACTGGACCATTTGTTAAACTCCCAGTCCTACGAATTTGAGTTATTTTTAAACTACTAAGATTTATTTTTCTCACCTGAGTATGTTTGAAAAGTTGTCAAAGTTTTCAATAGATGTGATATTATAATTGTACGTTGAAATATCAACATCAGGATTGATATTTTTCAAAGTTTCAGCAGCAGCTTCAACTTTACTTAAACCTGATTGGTGCGGTTGGAAGAATAATCGGTTCATATTAGCTAATTCTACTTTGTCATAATCGAACAAAATGAGTCTTCCTATCCCACATCGAGTCAACATTTCTGCTGTTACGCTTCCTACACCCCCAACACCAACAATTGCAACAGAAAAGTTTCTTATGTTTTCGTAGTTGTTTACAATTCCCATGCGTTTCAATGCCATTAAACGACTATAATTTATTAAAAGAAATAAAAGTGATAGAAAATGTAAAAAATACCTGTAGGGGTTTGAATCCACCACTTCAGTCGACATGGTCTCAATTTTTTCCCGAGCATTTTTCGTGGTCAGTAACTTGACTTTATTTTCTAATTCGCTAATTTTGGTTTTAAGATCTTCCACGTTTTCCATTTTAAAAATATTTTAATTGTTACTGCGAGATTACAACATATGGGACACACACCTGCTGATGACAGTACCTGTCACTGTCAAATCATTTGAACTATTCTATCCCGATGATCACACATTTAAACTACTATTCAAAGTTGAATTTTATAAAAGAATATCTTACTTTAAACTATAACAATTGTACAAAGACATTTATAAAAAAAATTATGACCAATTCATTACAGTTTTTCTATGTAATCAATTAAAAATTACGTGATTTGGTATGTCTTGTAGTAGACCTTCGACACAAATAAAGATAAAATAACCTACTAAAGTAACGCAGAAAAACTACAGTTGTTTGTCCTGCAAAGGTGAGGTTATGAAGTCAAATTAAGTTATTTTACGTATTTTTCAGAAATAAATAGATTTAAAGAGAAAATAAATAACACAATGAAGCCTGCAATTGTTGCCGATGAAATGTTTCCAGAAGGTGCAGGTCCATATATGGACCTAGAGGAGGTATTAAGATTTTTTGTGGTTATGTTGGGTAAACATTTATTTGATTTTAGGCTGGTGGTTCTAGTGGATTACTAATGGACCTTGCGGCAAATGAAAAAGCAGTCCACGCTGATTTTTTTAATGGTAAGAAGGTGGAGATTAGTGGTAGAAGAGAAGTAAAAATGCTAAATGCCCCACGAATTCATTGTCAATCTTGTGAGTTTTGGGGGTGGATTAATGGAAAAAAGAAACATTAATTTACGTATTTGCACTATATAAGTGGTTTTGTAACCTTTAAACAAGTTACATATGCGAAAAGCTTTGTTTTTTAAATACTTTATCTTTAGTGTAATTTTCTGCCTGGAATCTGAATGTTGTTTTGTTTTACAGATTTTGAGGACCTCTATGATGATGAAGACCTTAACTGAATTCTGTTCTTATTTCTAGGCTCTGAGGTTGCTGATTTTTGGTTAATAAGATTGTAAAATTTTATGTTAATAGGTGTGAAAGAAAAAGCTTACCAATTTAAATGATTTATTTTTTACAAACTGGAGTCTATTGTAAAATCAAGAAAAACTTAGTTTTATAATTAACAATTAAAATTAAGTTTTATAAATAACAATAAAAAAGGAGTACATAAGATTTAATCTTATTATATACAAAAAACCTAATCAGCATTCTGCTCCAATATTTACAAATCATCAAAAAAGGAAAAAATAACTCAACTTTGAAGCAATCTAAATTCTTAATCTTTTTTGGAATACTCTAATCAAAAAATATTGGTCCACTACAAAAATCTGACCATTCCTTTTAAACACATTTAAATTACAAGCACTTGTTATCACAGGTGCAAATTTATTTGCAAACAAAAAGCGAACAAATTTATACAACATAAAGTATATTTGTATATACAGGAATTAAAGAAAACGTTGAAAAAATTTAAACACTAAACTAATATTATTGTACAAAAACGTACTTTTATAAATCGTTGCGTTGGACAAAAGCAAAACCCACATATCCAAACACTCCCCGTCTTTTGTCCAACGCAATTAAAATAGACGAATAAATTTTAGTACTTAACAATAAATGTACATAAAATAATGAAACAGATCGTCTCTTTTACTGCACTCACATGGACAGACATTGAGACACGGTAGAATAAACACTAGTTCAATTCAATGTCACTGGACATGTCTGAGTCCCCTTCGTCATCACTGAAATCGGGAGCACCAGGAGAAAGAGGATCGCTTGATGACTGATGCGAGTTCTCCTCGTCCAAAGTTGTCTCAACAAAGTCTTCAGTTAACATTCCGCTGGTACCAGGAGTGTCAACATCCAATAAAGCTTCAGTCTCATCAGCGGTACCAAACGCCAATTCTGAAAAACAAAGATAAGATTTTATAATTACGAGAGAAAAACATACGATCTACGTAATTTTCGAGAGACTTTGGAACCATCTTTTTGATCCTTTCCAAATTTTCGGGGGTACATTTTCCACTATCCAGCCCTAAAATCAACTAAAACATTTCTTTTTCTGTTCAAGTAAATAAACAACGTACCCATCAACATTCCAATTGATTTCAATACTTCCACGTCGTCTTTAATTTCAAATTTGTCGTTGAATTTAAACACGTATTCTTTTCTGTAAAATATCGTTTTTTTTTTTAGTTGAAATAATTCATTAAAGACACTTACTTGTCGTTTGAGATGCTACAATCGATCTCAGTCTTTTTATTTGTGCTTATGATAAGAAAAGGCAACTGAATGTATGAACTCGGGGCTGGTGGTCCGTTGATTTCTTCCAGTTCTCTATTCCTCTGAGCTAAATTTTTAAACGAAATCTGATTCAAAATCAATTCTTGCAACTCCTTCTTTTTCTCTTTGATTGAGGCAATTTTTTTAAGTTTTTCCCTTTCCAACTGCATACATTCTTGGAGCGAGTTTGTCGGTAAACCAATCCACCTGATTTCTTTCTTTTCTTTGGAAATTATATTCATGGCCATTAGTACGTTTAAGGCATCGTAAACTCTTCTTCTGATATTTTTTTGGTCATACTACAAAACTCGCATTACGGTTCCTGTTACCAAATTTGTCGTAAGCAAATACCTGATCTGCCAAAGAATTATTGCTGGATGCGCTTGTGAATTCCCCTACTAACTCATCTGCCACTTCATTGTACGTAGTTTTACCTTTGTTTCTCACTTTTTCGCAAACTTTCATCGAGAAATGTCGCAAGCCTTTACCGACCTTTTCCGACTTTCTGCTTCGTTTTCTAACAACACAAAACACAGTACAAAATTTATTACAAATTCATCAACTTACGAATCGTGTACGAAATCAAGTTCGATCGGATCGGCTCCTCTTTTTCGTTGAAGAATCGGCGGCGAATTATTTTTATTCTGGACTGTGTGTGTTTGTTGTACAATTGGTATTGCCGTTGCATTTTGGCTAATTTGCAGTTTCTGATTATTTTGCGTAACAAATTTTATACTTTGCTAAAAATATCATTTTTGTTACAAATGTTTGCAAGAAATTTTATCCTCTACCATTTGTGTCGGAGTTAAACGAATTGTTTTCGTTCCTTTCGGTATTCCACTGACTTGAAGTGTGCTACCTTCTAAAAAATTTAATAGAAATCCTTGAAACACAAACTTTAATCAAACTTACTTGTTGTCACGAATTTTGGAGTCGTTGCTATTGTCCTTATGATTTGTGGTGATGAACCTGTAGTACCATACACCTACAGGGAAAAATATTGAGTATTTTAAACCTGCACATACTTGATGCAATTGGTGAAACAAGTAGGCGTTGATGTAGGAAGGTAAAATAACAAAGTGATAATTGGAAAGAAGAGTGTGCGGTTGAATTGAATTAAAAATATTGTAAAATTGATTAAAGGTGTGACAACGCAATTGTGTCCTTGGGAAACCACAAATGACCTCTTCAAATTTTTTTCTGACATGATCTCTATCAGCATATTTTGTTTCTATTTCTATTTATTCATTGTTATTTACTTGAAATACTCTACAAAAACCAATGACAAATCCTAAACCGAACTGTAACGATTATACTGAGTATTATACTGATTATTTTTTATTTTTTACTGTGCAAAAATTAATTAAATACTGATCATTAAGGCTCGTATTATATGCAAAATGCATATTTGTTGTTAAGAAGTATATCAACAAAATTGTAAGTTTTCTATGCATATCTGTTTTTTTATTAAAATAAGCCAAACAAAAAATGCATATTTTGGCAACTTTGTGCATATTTTCTTCAAATCACAAATTTCTGATTAAAAATTTCAATTCAAGTTATAAATTGGGCAGTTTAAGAAAAATGATTCGATTACAAAATATTTTGAAGAGAAAACAACCGGTAAATTAGTATCCTGCTGAGTGTTTCCTTTTTACATTCGTTTTATACAGGGTGAATATAAAGTAATTAAAAAAATATATACAGAGTGCGCCAGAACTCGCCCCCCCAGAGAAAATCTATAAAAATTTCGAAGTTATGAGGGTTTAAAGTTTGCACTTTGAGTCTATTTATTTCTGTTGGAAAAATAATTTTCCAAGTTTTTTTGCTATAGGCTATTAAAAGAGGAAACAAGGAAGCTATATCCTAAATTGTAATTCTGTTCAATGTTATTTGTGGCTTTTATTGGCAAAATTTTTGTCCCTTTACTTAATAATTGTAGAAAAACATATACAAGATTATCTGTATCATTAAATAGATATAAAAAAAAGTTAAATGTCAAAAAATAAATGTCAAAATTTTTTGACATTGAATTTTTTAAACATTTTTTTCATGTTTTTCGTGCATATAATCCCAGCCTTACTGATCATTTATAAACTTATTTATTGATCGCTTTATTACTACCCAATTTAAAATTTTAGTTTGGCAACCTTAGCTTTCAAATTCAAACATCAAACTTTCATAGGCAATTGTCACTCATTTGCGACTGCTGATTTAGCCGTCACTTGAAACAGTGATATAACAAATTAGAAGGATTACCAATAATTCAGTGTTGCCAATAGATTTTTTGTCACAAACATTAATAGTCACCCTGTAGAAGTCAATATGTATTTGAACATTTTGAAGCATAATTGCGCTTCCGTTTGAGACAACTTGTGTTGAGATTAAATTAGAACACATTTGTTATCTGCATTAATCGTGGGTGTTCTATCTACAAAAACTTCGAAAGCAAGCAAGAAAATATATACATTTGTATTGTGCATTTATCATTTCATCAACAGTAAAGGTAAAAATAAAGACACATTTTTGAAGAAAAAATGCATTTTTTAAATGTCCAAAGGTCTCTTATAACAATTAGAATTTATTTGTTGACTTGTATGTATGTAGGTATAAATGAGTACTTGAGATTGTCATAATTTTAATAAGTACATGTTTTTCATGTTATCTAAGAAGCTGTTTATATTTTTGTAAAGCTCCATTTTAATCTAGACATTAAACACGTTTCAAAATTGTAAGATTATAACTACTGAACTAGGATCAAAAAGGTGCAATATAACTAAGAATAATAAATAACCATAAATGTTATCAAACATTAAGTCCAAAATTAAATTATATCTGCTTCGTAAAAAATCCCTACTTACATAATTTCAGTAATTATTTAATGTAATATACGTAAAAACACTAGAAATATTGATGGAATGTGTAAGTTAACCAATAACACTTATTATGCAAAGTAACACCAAACATAATTGTTATTGTTAGTGCCTCCAAACATGGACTTGTGAGAACAATTTATGATTTAACCTAATTAATCACAGGTTAAAAATATAAATTTCTTAAAACTGTTTCATTTATCGACGATAATGTATCTATAAAAGTTTGAGGTTGTTAAAAGTTGTAACGCTTGAAACTTTGAAACAATGCGTGAAATCAGGGATGATGTCTCGAAAAGATTAAAGTCAGCCGTTGAGCCATTAAATCGCAGTATGAAAGAACCAACAAAGCGAATTAATTTAACGCAAATCTGTAAAGCAGCTGAAAGTCATTTTATAAGGCGTTTTTACACCCAGACCCAAGAATGGGCGAAAAAAGTTGTTACAGACAGGATTCCTAAATCAAGCAGAAATAACACGACAGTGGGAGAAAAAAACAAATGCGATGACGACATAATACCAGATTCAAAAACTTACGACCGTACATGGGTGAAATGTAAATAAATAAGGAAACACGTGTGGCTCAAATATGGTTTTGAGACAAGGGTTGCGTCTAAAGTGTTCCACCGATTTTTAACAACATAAAACCTTTGATTTGAGAAATTTCGAATCGCGAATTGCAGACTTGAAGGTGTCTCAACACAGGTTCAAGGATATCTCAACAGGTTATGATTGGTATTATCTACCATGTCGCACTAGTTACATTATTAGGGAATTTAATTGACAAGATATCAAAGAACAAAAAAATTGTTAAGAAAGTAAAAATCAATAGTGATGCTAATCTCATGGCAATAAGTATGTATATTTTATGGTTCACTATTAATTAAAAATTAATGTAGATGCCAATAGCCACAGTCAAGATAATTAGTAGAAGAGATCGTTTTTTGTCTTATAACTAGGACTATAATTATACCTTCAATGTTTTAATGAGTTCGACTTCAATAAAGTAATTTGAATAAATATTAACGACAATAAAGTGTAAAAAACCCGGAAAAGTAGTCTGTAATAGAAAAGGTTCAACTTTTAAGTTATACAAAAAAAAAACTAAATTTAATTGGGAACGAATGTATGAATTGCGCAGACGCGTTAAAATATTGAGCAAAAACTTGGAAAAAAGATTCATGTTTCAGATAAACCCACTGGACGAGGACACACTGTATAGTATCAAGAAAAAAGGGGTTGACCGAAGGTAGGGTCTAGCAAACCGGTTTTCGACAAAACAACCTCAAATATTTAACTTACAAAAAGATAAAAAGCTTCGGTTTTCCTTCAAATGACGTAATCTTATGGGTTTCACTGCTTTTGTGATCCAATAAAATTCATGAAACCATTACTAAATGCGTGGCGATACTGATCTATCTCCACACAAACACGCAATAATTATGGTTAAAATGAATTAAAAATTGTCGAAAGTAAGCAAGGGCACGCAAAAATAACAAATCAAATACCCACTTCTGTTTGAAAGGATGAATAAATTGTGCAAGCACCAAAAAAATTACCTTGAAATAAATTCGATCATTCATTAAAATACCACTATTTGTGATTAAACAAATATGCCTTATCTTTATCGAATATAAACAAAATAATAAAGCTGTTTGAATTAATTTGGGTGGAATTGAATGGAATACCTGGAGTGACTCCTGGTTGTTTGGCGATTTGAAAATCTTCACCGGTTGCCCTGCCATAGACGTCACAATGCCACTTAAAGGTTTTCCACTGGGTTGAACCACTTTAATCATTTGGGGTTGCCCTATTAGACAAAAATGCAGAAATAAAACACGTGCATTAAATTTTCTTTTTCTCCAACATCGAGGTGGTTTTCCCCAAAATTTCGACTTTTTCCCGCCCAAAATCCCACCTATCAATTGTTTGCTACTGTACCACTTCGATGTTGGCCCCCGTTTCCAAATTAAACCCAAAACCATTTAAAAATTACCATTAGCTCCCTGGATTACCCAGTTGGTTGTGCTGCTTTGTTGGGTCATTTTCCCTCTCGCGCGAAACACTCACTTGATAGCCTTTTAACACATTTCCTCAAAAATAGAACATTGCCGAAAAAGCACCGGTTTTTAAATCCGAGATACTCTCCATCCAACTCCAACAAAAATGGCGACTGTAACTAGGCGATATTTTGGAATTGAAATAGGCGAACCCCGCGCACCACAAATTCCGTTTAAACAACTCGCGAAGTTTCCTCGAATATCACGATTTGTTAATTTCGCGCTTTCTAATTGTTTGTTATTAATACAACACTTGGGGGTGTTTTTGAAGATGAGCTATTTCGTGCAAGGAAAGCCACTACCAGCTTGGCGGCGGGTACAAAGGCATCACTCCTATTGGCTGGATTCCTTCACGTGGGACACGCTGCTCTTAGTTTCCAGGACCGACACGAGGGTGCGGAACGTTCGAAATATTTTGGCGCCTTTTTGCACCTTCGTCACTTGCACGATTCACACAAGCTCTGTACCCCATTCAAGTTGCCCCAAAAAGACTCCCAGTAATCCAGTTTCAATGATTATCACTTTCGTAACCCGGTTTAATAATTTTGATTAAATTGAATTTTGGTTTAAAGTATGAATCGCGTTGTTTGTTCATTCTGGTGGTCAGTGAATGCGATTTGCATGCAAATTTCGCGGATTTATAAATAATTTAAGCGGATTTCATTGAAATCAGTTGAAATTGTGCGGTTGGCAGCACTTTTTGTCAAGTGTCAAGTGTCAGACGGGTTGGTCCGTTCAAAAATGGATGCCGCTGTAGCATCAACATTGCCCGATAATGTCTTGGAAGTAATTTTTTCATATTTGTCTCTGCATGATTTGAGGAACTGTTCTTTAGTGTGTAAGAGATGGTATAGTTTTTTAAATGATGAAAATAATGACGTTTGGAGGCTGCACTGTATTCGGAAACTTGCCGAAGAAGCACTAAAGTCAGACTTGTTGTCTTCAGTTCCTACGTATAAGGCGAAATTGCGGGCATTTTACCACGCTTGGAATCCGAACGACTGTTCTAGAAATATTTATATTAAGCCTAATGGATTTACGTTACACAGAAATCCTGTAGCTCAAAGCACGGATGCTTCAAGAGGTAAAATAGGCTTCAGACATGGGAGACATGCTTGGGAGGTTATCTGGGAAGGGCCTTTGGGGACGGTGGCCGTCATAGGAATTGCAACAAAAGATGCACCTTTGCAGTGTCACGGTTATGTGGCTCTGCTGGGGTCAGATGAACAAAGTTGGGGCTGGAATTTAGTTGATAATCATTTACTGCACAATGGAGATGCTCAAGGCAATTACCCTTTACTTAACAACGCTCCTAAATATCAAGTAAGTCATTTGATTCACTTAGTTTGTTGTTACATTAAGTTTTTCAGGTTGGGGAAAGAATTAGGGTGATTTTAGATTGTGATGATAACACACTTTCTTTTGAAAAAAACTACGAGTTTTTGGGAGTGGCCTTTAGAGGTAATACGATTTTTAAGCTGTGAAAACGCTATTTCATGCAAACTTTCAGGATTGCCAGATAAAAAATTGTATCCAACAGTTTCTGCTGTTTATGGAAACACTGAAGTTTCAATGGTGTATCTCGGACCACCTTTAGATGGCTAACACAGCTGAAAGTTAACGTTAGTCTATTAATTAACTGAAAAAAGGGATTGAATGCTTCAAGATGGCTCATTCAGGACAGCAGGTTTGCCCATGTGATAATTACATTTTACTTCAGTCAGTCATACTTCCATTAAAAATGAGTATGTAGGACAATTTAAACAATGGTAGATGTAGAATTTTTATAACAATAGATTAAGAGAGGTGCATTTGAAGTATATGTTGACACAAACTTAACTAAATAACTACAAGGAGGAATTGATTTCGTTTTAACACAGTCGAATTTTTATTGAGTTTTTTAGATGCTACCACTTTTTACATCAAATGCACTAAATAAATAAACATTTCGCCATATTCCGTGACCTGATTGCCACTTTTTTAATACTAAAACAGAAACATTGAGTGAGTAGACTTTTAAGGAATTAATTCAATATCTTTTTATAAATTGAGGACTCCTCTTACAATTTTTTGTTGCAATATTTTATATCATCAATGCTGTAAAATTACCTTCCAGTTACTAATTTAAACACTGCCAAAAAATTCATTACACTGTTGGAATAGAAAGTGTAATTGAAAAATTATAACGAGGTCTCATAGCTATCTGTTTAAAAAGTACCGAAATTTGCATATGAATGCATAATGGTGTTTTTTTGTGATCGTTTGACCCCAGGACATTTTTATTTATTTTATTGTTTGTTTTAATAGTATTTCATCAAAAATCGGAGGTAATTTTATAGTGCCAGGTATGTGATTTCACGTTCACATGAATGATTTTATTTTTTTACGTTGGCAGTCAATGTAGTCGTGTAACAAGTCTCGAAAAATAAGCCATTGTTGCCTTGTAATTTCGGCAATTTAATTTATTTAATATTCGTTTCTGTGATATTTTCGAGCAAATGTTTATTTATCATGATTTTTAATTTCTCGACTCATCTTTTGATCTGATATTAAGCTTGTTATTTTTTATATTATTTATTATTTATTTGGCCAGAAACCAGTAGTTACGTAACTTTGTAACCGTGAAATGTAAGCATATTCGTCCTCACTCTGCTTCGCAAAGTAATAAATTGATAAATGTAACTTTTTGTCATTGCAAATGCATTTTTGCTATTTGAACCCAAAATTTTCCTAATGCTGTATTAGCAAGCCTGACTATTTTATTATTTTGGGTTTTGATGGCATGGGATATATTTTTTTATCGGTGAAATTTTGTACAGGTCCAAAAATTTGGATAAGTTTGGAAATATCTAACAAATGCAGTAAATAAAACCATAAATTGTACTAAAGCGTATAATCTTGATTTGTTACCAATGTTTTTAGGTTGTACTCTTGTAAATATGTATGTATGTACGTTTACATTTTTTCAAAGTAATCAATACTTGAATAGTATTAAAATAAATTCTAGTCATTTTTATTATCGAAAAATTAATGCGTATCTCGACATTTTGTTTAGCTGAATGTGTGAGCACTATTCTAAAATTCAAATTGTCCACCTTGAAGTTGACGTCCTAAATATTTAAATCGAACTCCAACTGGAAATCAATGCGTGCAGTGCAAAAACAGAAAACGCATTAATCCTGCATAATATTTTTATAAATAGACACAATTGTATCAGAATGTCTGCATTATTTATACTAGAAATGTAACAAAAGAAATTTTTACTTGTATTATGCACTTTTATTCAAGGATATTCCTTCCAGTACTTAAATCGTGCAGGTGCGCATAAATGTAAATAAATTTCTTCATTTTAATTATTATGACTTTGAAAATCGTGTCTGTATTTTCTAGTACTTAATTTAATGATGTTAGGAGGCACTTTGTTATTTATTTCGCATTTTAGGAAAATGGCGGGATACGCTTTCGTACAAATAATGAGTTTGTTCACACGAGAAAAATCAATTGCGTTCGTGTGATCAACCTGGAAGCCTTGCATCTGTTAGTTTATTTATTAGTTGTACATTTTTTATCATTTTATTTTACAATAGTTACCATTTTTATTACAAGGTATGTGCAAGTATAGTAGGTATTTATGGTTTGTATAATACATTGTTTTTAAATATAACAATAAAATGTTAGTTTGATTTTTTGTTTCAACCAAATATTTATTTAAAAACTTGAATTTACGATCGTGAGTGGGACAGTGGGATTAATTCAAAAATGCAAAAACTAGGCAACGATATATATTTTATTGTAAATTATTATTGACTATTGTGATTATTATTGACTCTGCAAAGGAAATATACATGTGTTTAGATAACTTTGAAATGTTGATATCGATTTAATACATATTTTTAAAATCGAAAGTTGTTCAAAACAAGTAATTGCAAAACTATGAATATTTTTCTATAAAAAGCTTCGTATTGCTAAAATTTTTAACAGTATATTGTCGCAAATTAATATAATTTTTACATTTTTGCTCTAATGTCTTTAACTTAGCATAGTATACACTATTAGAGATCACAAGTTTTGAATATAATGTTTTGTGTATAACAAATATAAATGATGAAATTTCTATTCTCATTTTAAAGCAAGAAATAAGTGTACTTTACCTAAATCACATTTTTTGTGATCCAGTATATATTATAAAACAATCTAAAGGTCACATGATACCTTTTCAACAAGTAATAGTTAACAAATGATATGATAGTTGAGGAGTATTAGGCTTGTTTTTTGCTTCGATTAAAATTAATTCATTTTCTTATTCGTTTTACATTCACGTTGTGTATCAATAGCCTTATAGTATTATTAAAAAAACTACAAAACATCGGACGCGATCATTGTTTTGTAACAAAAATTAATTAGAGCAACTTTAATATGATATAGTTTTGCTGATTAATAATTATTCTAAATGAACTTGTTCTCAATTAGGTACATACTTAATTATTATTATTATTAGATTATATTATGAATTTGTTTAGGCAATTAACGGAACGATTTTGTGAAATAGATTTTATACATTTATTAATTAGCTTCTCCGTTAATTTCCCAACGAATATGGTTAGTTAAATCTATGAGCAATATTTACTTTTTTATGAACTCAGGTCTATATTGTTTGTTTAATCACATCGAGCGCGTTCGATGTAAATTTAGCAGAATTTTCATATAGTGTGATTTTAAGTTGTGCAAAAATTTGTAGATGTCGTAAGAAAGCTTGTCTTAACTGAATTTTTATAGTAAGATATAGGGCAACCTCCAATTTATCGTCGAAAAATTCTTCAAAAAATTTTACATAAACAAAGTTTGCATTTGAGTACTTTATTCGAAAGTTTACATGTATGTAGTCGGGAGATTTGAAAAATTTAAATTCGTTGGTATCTACGACAAAAAATTAATGCAAATTTTTTATTTCATTTTCTCGTTCCTAATTTTAACCCAATTTTTTAAAAATAATGTAATATATTTTGAGGAGGAAACCTATTTGTGTCAACATTTGTTGATGTAGTTTAAGGATACAGACCAAATTTACATTTATTCGGCAACTAAAATCCTCTATATCTTAGAAATTGTGAACATTCGGATAGGGCAAGTTGAGGTATTGCGTCTTTTCTCTTTTTTCTATTATTTGTTAAAACTTTTGCACAATTACTAAAGTCACTCTATTTACAAAGTGTTTCAGTTAAAAACAGCAGCAAATAAGCACAACAGAGACCACAGCTGGTCTCAGAGAGTTTTAAAAATGTAATATAGAAAAATGGCCAAACAATTGAAACTACAATACGTAAATTCAGTAAATGTTGATCAAGTATAGAAGATTAAAATCAAGTTGATAGAAAGTGAAAACCAAGTGATAAGTGTGTGACAAAATATTTAAATGCAGAATAATTTATAACTAATTTATTGAACGGAAATATGTATCGAATTTCGCCATTTGCTGTCTGACGGAGGAGTATATTTTTTATATAATATCGGGGTTTTTCACCACTTTAGATTCATTGAAATTAGTGAAAATTACCTAAACTAAACTTAATATTAATTAATTATAAAAAGATGTGTCAATTGTTTTAGTACTTGTAATATGCATAAAATTTTTGCCTTGTTATTTTTTGTTGAATTACGTATATTTACTTCTTATACATATTTTTATATCACGTCTTATTTGAATCGAAAGTAAAATTTATAAATAATAAAGCACCCATCTTTTATTAAGTTTATAGTTCGCTAAAGTATAAGAAAAACCCTTCTTTGTAATAATTCTAGAAAGTTGATACTGATATTAGGTAGGTATTTCTTACTCTAGATATATGTACAGTGAGCGGCGAAATTATGGAATGGTCAATATATATTTTTTAAATACAAATTTCTGAACTTGATTTAAAATTGTATGTTTGTTTTTTGTTGATATTATTTAATTTTTTTCGAATTTTTTTTTCGAAAACTTTATGTAATTTTAATACTTTGGGACTATCCTTTCGACAATTAAAAGATCTATCGAATTGGCTAAAAAAATTGGGGTTTCCATTAAAGAAAATGTCGATGACGTCATTATTCAAAAACCCAAAAGTGTAAAATTTTAAATCAAGGTGAAAATTGTGTATGTTTTAAAAAGATAATTGACCTGTTCGGGTATTTTTGCAAAAACAAAATATTTTCAGTTTTAATAAGATTATTCCATAATTTTGCCTCTCACTGTATGTATTTGCAACTTTGTAAGTTCTACTTAATTATTTCTAATTAAAATTTAGTGGAGATGGTGATGATTTCCAGTGTCTGTTGCACCATTTGCATCTGTAACTTCGTAGTATAACGTTGATTTAACTTTAGTCATCCAAAACTTTGTTAAAAAGAAATTTGCTATTAAGCAAAATATTTTGTTCAATACTGGACAGAGTATTGCTTGATGAACCACTGCAAATATTCTATACAGTTGTCCTTCGAAAGGATCCAATATGGCCGGACATAACATGTGATTCAGATTTACTTCCGTTGGCTAAAAATAAAAAATTGATTATTACGTATTTAAAAAAACCTTTTAATCTCAAGATACAGTCTCACTTCTGTCAGAATTTATTTTGAAATTTCATCAAAATTGCACAAGTAAAAGTAGACAGTTGGTTTAATTACATTTAAATCAGATACTAGTAAAGACGCTTTTTGAGAAAATAAACACTCAAAAAATGCCTTTGACACCGAAAGAGCTTTTGGTTCTAAACTTACTGAATGTTATCAAATGCCGGAAGATTATTTTCGCTGTCCATTTTTATTGTGACTAGCTGTACATTGGTGCAAAAACTTTTTGTTTGTACCAGTGTGCATTTGAACTAAAAATCAAATTAGATAAATATACGTACAATTGCGATTGTTTGTAAAAACACGAAATGATAAATAACGTTAATGCTGTAGCTGAAAGCATTCCAACTCAGGTCGGAAAACTTCTCAACATTGTAAACCCCTAAGAAACGCAGAGTAAGTTTATATCAAATGGTTTACGAGATTTTTACCTCCTAATCTAAGCAGGTAATAAGGCACGACAAACATCATTCCATGTTGTATCCAATATATCGCAGATTCTAATGGCAACTGTAAAGGAGAAGCGAGAATCAGGGAATGAGAAGATTAAACGATTTCATTATACTTTGACTTGTGGATAATGAGATTTGGGAACCACCTACTAACAAGCTTGTTCAATTTTGGACAAGGTCTCAGAGAAAAATTATTTCAAACCTAAATCCATCGTTGGAAAAGATGCTATTATGTTTTATTCATTTTTAGATAACAAGGTTGGTCTTGCTTGTCTAGTCTAACCCCCATTCTCAATTAATAATGAGATAGAAATTGCAAAGAAATAAGTTTCTTCAATTAATTTGTTTTAATTAGTGTTTTTTCGTCTTAAAATGCAGTATTGGAAGGGCAAATCTACATAAAAAATTCAAAATAATTTTTTTTCAAAATAACTTTGTAAAAGGCTTTTAATTAGTCCAACTTGAAAAATTAATTTAATTAGGTACTGACAATTAGAAAATTATTGATAATACTTACTTATATTATGTTTTCATAAATTACAAATAGCCGAGTCAAATTAAACAAATCGGTAAAACAAATCCTAGAGAGTTGGTGGGGGGGCGAGCTCGAGGAGGGGCAGGAGGTTAAAGGTGTCTTTTTTTTTGTTTTTTTTTTGCTTATATCTAGGAAACTATCACTCCTATAAGTTTTTATCTTCTTATTAAAATTAAAGCTTCCAAAATTTTCTATAAAAATGGTCTTTTGCATTTTTGTTGTAGGACTAACCATAAGCGAGTTATAGAGCTGACAAAAAACATTTAAAAAAATGTGCCTTATCCGCATTTAAAACAGAGTTAGTCTTCTAATTTGAAAAAACTGATAGTAAATTGAATTTACTGGGTCCAATACTTCAATAAAGGAGGGGGGAGTCACGAGGGTCTATGAACACAAACTTATCGTTTATGTAATTTTCTGTAGAAGTCTGCATTTCTGCATCAAAATTTCCTACAAAAATAGTTCTATTCATCTTTTCGTAGGACTAACCGTAGGCTTTTCAATTTGGAGTCGACATAAAATTGCATTAAAAATCCTTTGAAACACATTTCATTAGTTTATGGTAAGTATTTATATGTGTAGAGCGTTCCCCAACTAAGCTGGTCTGCCTGAAAGGTGACTCGGGTGTAAACATTTAAAGATATAAATAAAAATTTTGGAAGAAAGAGAGAATCAATCTCTAAAGGAGTTAAATGGGGGTAAACGTTTAAACAAAAATATAAACATAAAATTCTTTAGAGGTGTAAAGGGGAACTAAAATCAGATTTTTCGAAAATTAGTTTTTAAGGGAATGAAACGGTGTATAAAAGAATATGAAAACATAAAATTTGGAAAATATGATCCATAGATAATGTAGAAGTACACTTTTCAAATTTTAACGAAATAAAGTAGATTGTAAACGCTTAAAAACAAAATTAGAAACATGAAATTTAGAATTTTGAGAGTGCAGAAGTGTACTAAGACGACACATTTATCCATAAACATAGTCCATGCGAAGAACGAGACTGTTATAGCTGAATCCCATACAAAACATAGGTAGTTATCCAGATTTACAGAGTACCTAAGCCTATGGAATAGTTTTGTGAACGGGCTTTTTCCCATTTTATTTGCGGACGAAGTCGTAGGCAAATGCTAGTTCAGCATATAACGATGACTCATTTTTTTTCAAACACAAGATTAATTCTGTTTTAAATGCGGATAAAGCACATTTTTTTAAATAATGTTTTTTGTCAACCCTATAACTCGCTTACGGTTAGTCCTACAACAAAAATATAAAGGACTATTTTTGTAGGAAATTTTGTAGGCTTTAATTTCGATAAGCAGGCAAAAACCGTTAGGAGTAATAGTTTGCGAGATATAAGCAAAAAACCAAAACAAAGACACCTTTAGCCCCCTCCCCCTTCTCGAGCTCGCCCCCCACCTTCGGGGACTTTTGATATATGTCTACCCAAGAATAAAGAAAGCGTTAAAGAAAATTCCATCTCTAGGATTTTTTTCCACCGATCGCTTTATTTTTGTCTAATTTGACTGGGCTAATAACAATATTAATCAAATGGTAAAAGCTTTATTTTGTTTTGTTTTGAGGATAATTTGAATTTCAGTCAAGCGTTTTTATTTCTTTTGATTATTGTTATTTCTATAATGGTTTTTGTTCGGGAAACTTTAAGAAACACAGCGAATCGAAGCCATTGTGGGAGTGTTACAGTCAAAATTATTAGTTGAAATTCCCCGGGCCACCGATTGAAAAACCCAACTTTCATGAAACAATTTCTCGCCGGCTTTTCAGCACGTGTGTGCGTCACGTTCTGGTGAATATGTGAAATTTATAACTTCGAGTTGCATTACAATCGTCATTCTTGCATTAAAATCGATTTTCAACGTTTACCCAAGCATTCAATTCAATTACCAAAGCTTTTGAAACAATCCGGTCTATAGAGCATTCCTAAATGACTTCGTATTAGTCCCATAATTGATTACCTTTTGTCCACATTTACATAAAATTGTTTAATTTTACATTTTCCTGAATTATGGATAGCAATTCGTATTTTTTAAAATGGAATTTTGATTAGAATCCCACTCGGTTTAATTATTAATGAAGTTCAAAGGTCGACACAATCTAGTTTCAAATTTTATTACTTTGGTGGGTTAGTTGACGGAAAAAGTGAAAAATCAATGCCTAAATAGGTTACACATGTTATTAGGTAAATAGTAATTTGGATCAATAAAAATTTAATGGACAGGTGTTATTAAATTATGTCAAGTAAAACGATATTGCTTTAATTTATCTTACTAAAAGCTTAGATTGTTATCTTTTAACCTGTGTAAACAGACATAATAAGTGTTTAACTTCCTATAAGTGACATCAATCACTGCCATAGATCACTTTGTTGTTACAGGATCTTTTACGGGAGCAATTTCCTCTCAATTCTCAAGCTATTATCACTCGATTTAATTTAATTCCCTTGGGGAGTAAAAATCAATGAATGACATGTGCATGAAACCTGATATTTGCTATTGTAATTAAGGGTGACATTTACCGACTACTGCAATCATACTTACTATTCTAGTATCGGTTTCTGGAAACAAAAACGCCAATAATGGCCCATTTAAAAGATTTAAATGCACTCGAAATACCGCCGTAACAGTTTTACTGGGGGAAGCCGCTAACAAATATATCTGCAAAGGAAAACATTTTCTCCTGATTTCCTTCCCGGATGCGTTATCACCTGGATCGCTGTTGTTATATGACAGGGGTTTAACAAATATATCACAGTACGCGATGAGAACTTATAGCCTATTTCCATTCCCCAAATCAGCGACATCATCACCAGAAGCGCTCGACGACCTCTGCGATCTCTTCGGACGTAAACCATCGTAGGCAACGTTATCCTGGAGTAACTCCATTTGAACAAAGTCACAGCGAATGCGAGGACAAAAACGGTTTCAATTAGGCGCCATATGGGGTTCATAAATTGGGCGCATTCCGGACCTGCATTTCGGGGCACGGTTTTATTTACTCCGCTATATGCCCATTCCATCATGTGACCTAAGATTTTTTTTTAATTTTGAAAAATCAGTGCAAGTTTTACCTTATTTTCCATTGTAATAGTTTTTCGTTCAATCCATTATATCTGTGCTAAAATCGGGGAAATGGGGCTTTCTTCGAGAAGCCACACGTCAGAGTTAACCTTATTAACATCCTGACGTAGTTCACAGATGATGAGTAATCGTCAGAATGCAGTTGGATTGATTAAAGAAAGCACGCATTGCCGACACCAAAGCTCTACTAGCGATGCGCTATCGAGCTTGGAGCTTTCTCTGAAAAGTTGCTCGAGCGCCATCTGGTGTTTTCAGGCGGTTTTGGGTAAATCCGGGTGCAGGTTTTCCATTTTCAGTCCTGGAAAATGGAGGGCGGTAGCTTACGAAATCTCCGGAGTCTCCATAATTATTTTCAGATTTTTATTAATGTTATCACTGAATGTTCATTTGTGGGGGGATCGAATCCGGGTGTACTTTTTGCCCGGATTCTAATATTTGATCGAATTCGTGTCAGGATTTTTTTCGTCGAGTTTTGTGCTTTTTCCTTCTTATCTCCATTTACACTCCTTCTTTGTGTTACGACTTTATCCCAAACACTCGCCATTTCATTTGTCAACTACAAAAAGAAACAATTTAGAGAACGTCCTCTATTTGCAATTATTCCGAGAAAAAGGAGATGGAATCTGAATGGATTAAATTTATATCGTGTTTTTTTTTCCGGGCAAAGTAAAGTTCCGTTGTATAAATCTTAATTGTTTTGGTGCTTAAATTTTATTTATTTTTTGAAGCACTTTAAACATTTATGTTCAATTGGTTTTCTTTTAGGGTTTTACGAGCATACAAAACAGCAAAGCAAAAGTCCAATTTCCTTGGGGAGTCAGCTTCTACCACCTAAGCACACAAAAACGGCATAAATGAACTTAGAACTTTTATCGCTACAAACCAGCACTGGACAAATCTCAAGAGATATGCATAAAAGTGGGACAACGGTGTTAATATAATGGAAAATGTTTCTGAATTGCTTAATACAGCGAAAAACAGATGTAATGTAATGCACCCAATGTTTTAATTAAAAAAATTAAATACACTTAAGTGACTACAAATAATTATCGTATTTAGTTAATTGCTCTTTATTCTCTACTGATGAACACAGAGTCGTGATGATTAAAATTCGAAAGGGGAAACACTTTTAGAGGCCTCGAGAATCTGTTCCTGGTAATAATAATAAGACGTTCCTTTAATATCATCCCTATTTTGTTAAAACAGTCTCAATGATAACGATGAAAGGACACTGAAGATAAGTAGATAATACTTTCGGCTAAGAATCCTACAATTAAATTGCTCAATTTTGGGAAAATTTCGATTCATATTTACTTTTAACAGGATTTCCAACTTTTTTATACAGGGTAGAACTGAAATGTTTTCTGTTAATACTTTTTCAAATACTTACTACCTATTTTAAAAATTACTCATTCGGTCGTAATGAAAATAGTATTCTATATGGTTTATCAAAACTCATAAATGGTTCTAATTTAATAACAGTCATTTAAGTAACGGGTATTTATTTAAATTTGGCATCATAGTTGGCGGTGATATGAGTGTGTTGTGAACGAACCACAATTTATATGTCAAATGTTTCAAATGTGTCAAGTTTTAAGTTTTTATTGTTTTGTTTTATTTTCCGTATATGTCCTGATTTGTCCCGATTTAAGGATAAACAGACCTAAGTGTGTAATTTTTTCAGATTTTTATTTGAAGCGAAAACAAAGTGTCTTTGAAGTTAAAAAGTTTTTTTTGTCGTCATTTAAAATGTGGGCATTGTAATAGAACTTAACTGAAAGTAGAAACACTTAAAAATTGCTTGTAATGACCAAATGAAATATTAATTTGGCTCGTAAAGATTAAAAAAATGTTTGCAGAGAATGAAGGGACTTTCAAGGCAATTGATACAGAAAAGAGTTTGAAATTAACACAAGACAATTAATTAATATGTTAATTATTAGATTAGGATTCAAAAATTGTTTTTTATTTTTCAGGTCAATATTTTGCATTCCTTGAATATAAAATATGGAACTAAGCAAAAAAAATCATTTGATTTCATAAAATAATAATTAATATAAATTAAAGTAATATAAAAATT